CGTACATTGTGTTACGCGCCGAAGGCAAGAAAGAAAAATCTTTTTAACCGTGCAGTGTTCGAAAGTACCGAGTCTGGAGGAAGGAAAGAGAGAAGAGCAGCAGGGAAAACAATTGGGAAGACTTTCCCCCATGTCCCTGTCGGCGCTATTATAGAGGCGCATTTGGGGCTGACAGCAAGGCGCAGCACGCGATCTCATTTTCATCCGTCGGCGCAAATTCACAACCTTGAATGTTTTTACAAGCTCTGCGAAGCAGCAAAGCTCGCTCTCATTTCCACTCTCGATATCAACCTTTCACTCATCGACATCACGGCTGAACGTCGCAGGGGTAGCCCAAGCAGTGGGGGAAAGCCAGGACGCCCCAGGCGTGTTGCGCAGTGAAGGCAGAGAGCGAGGACTCAGTGGTGGACCAACTCGGACGATCTACATGTCGAAAGGTTGGTGCTTCAGAAGGAGGACGAGATACCCAGGGCTAGCAACAATATAGTAGGGCACATACCGCCACATACCTTGGCACTTTCATTTAACAAGTGGAATGAGAACTATATGATTTGTCAGTGTCCGTGCGAATCGAGCTCGGAATGACCGAGAACCATGACAGGACAGAGGTGTGTACCGGGAACACCGTACCTGTAACCTTCTTATGTCGGTTCTCATACTAAGCACTCTTGTTCTGGGCTATGACTGATATCGCTATACAGAAAATAGTAATGTGGATAATGTTGAATCGTTCCCCACAAAAGCTCCATCAAATGAGAAAATCTGCGCCAACCGTACTCCAGCATGTGGGGTTAACATAACATAGCTCATGGCAGCGTGATTCCCTTTTGCCTAAGGCATGACATGATCTCGCTTCAGATGCAGTGATCGGCGCCCATTCTGTGGACCCCATACCATTCTGGCTCACCCCTGTCGCCGAAGATGCAGAGGGGAACGAACTGGAACGAAAGTACTCACCTGAATGAATCCATCTACGAGGGAAAATCTAGCAAAGGCGGTTAGTTTCGTTCTCTGCACACAGTATGAGGACGCGGCAGGGGCCGGGTAGTCGGCACAACGGAGAGATCGATCGGCCACGAACTTCTATTCCCCTTGTCCTGTTTCCCCACTTCCTTACTACTTCACGAACATACAAACGCCCACTCTCCGACCTCAACCCCTGAAATACGGGGCGTGTCCTCATGACTAGGTCCAAGTTGTTGACCATAACAGGAAAGATGTGCATACTAGCTGAACTGAGAAACTGAGATCGGCACTGGACGAGGCAAACCTATCCCGCGCGGGCTCAACCGTTCTCTGGACCCACAGGAAGAGAGTCCAACGTATCTAGCCGAGGCCGTTCAAGATCTCCGGATCCTGAGTCATGCTGTCTCATATGCGGGTCGAGCAAAGAATATCGACATACAGCCGACAATATCATGTTCCTAGACATTACAGTTGCTCCGCGTTAGCTTAATGATTTGCAACCCGTGTACTACGTTCATTCGTTGACGGAGATTAATGCGTTTGCTAACTGCCATTTCAGATACTAGGCGAGCCTGTGGGGGCAAATTGCCGCATCGCATCCGTGCACGGAACGCAGGATGAGACGCGGATGGTGGCACAATGGTGAGATCGACCAAGCACGGGCTTCTTTGACATGGAACATCAGTTGGGCTTAAATTTTTATTTTCTTGTCTACCCCGTTGATGGCCCCTGGAAACTTTGGTCATATGATAGAAGCTGTCGACACCATGAGTAAGAGTTTGGGTAAGAGTCTGAGCTCTATGTTCCGTCGGTAAATTTACACGGGCTCTCTATTACTACCTCGAAAATGTACAACGAAGATAGTAAACGCCCTGTATCTGTATCTCTGTCCCTGAGAAAATAGGGGGCTTCGGGTATCTCCAGCCTCGATAAACTAAGGGGCTGGGCGTTTCATTGAACCAATGAGGGGCAAGATCAATTGTCGTCTAAACTATATTTGAAGGAGAACCGAGTACAGCAAATACTACGATGATCACCATCCAGTCACACACGCCACGGATTTAACGGTCATCGCGGAAATAGAGTTCGGTTCCCCGGAAGCCAACTGTCCCCACAGCTTTGCTATCCTTTTGACCATTCTGGCCTAGGCAAAAGATACGGCGAAATAAATAAAAGAGACCTTTCACATGGCCCACATTAAATTCCCCTCGCCAAAATTGAGGTCGTATTAATCAAATAACCATCCAATATATCCGGGCATATCAAATCAGCAGATTCCGCTTCAGGTTAATTCCTGGCAAGGAGCATCCACCCTAAGAGTGAATCAATGGCACACTTGTTCAAAGTAGGAATGGTGAGTTTAAGTATACATCAGGTTAAATTGATGCCGTCCGTCGTTTATCATCCTACGTCTTCCGGCATTTGCCCTCATTGCTTGATTTCCTTGCTTACCTTGACGCTTGTTAATTTCTGGGCTTTCTGACCACGGATTGGTGGAAAATAGGAGGTTTGGTGAGGAGAAGAAAATTGAGGTGCGTGTCGATGACCGGGTTGCCGGAATAACCAGGATCCACATTACCGGGTGCTTATCTATTATCCAATTAACGACCCCTAACTACTGTAGTAATTCTGACTGATAAACAGGAGTGGTCATCACTTTCATGCCGGATCATTCGAAGAAAAGAAACAGTAAACCCTTTGCGAGTACCTATAATAAACGTCAACACCGATTCAAGGAAATTCGGATTACCATATCAGATATGTATATAGGACGAACTACAGTACTAGACCTGCCGCCAAAATTATTCCAATGATACTCTCAAGCAACGAGAAACGTGCGCTGCTAAGGCAGAAATGCCGGGAAGCGCTGGCAGCTCATATTCGTATGTCACCTCAAAATCAAACGCACACATCCCCGGTGGTAGCTAATAATGATATTCAGACGAGCGATTAGGCCTTACTGTCGCACCGGGTCGGGTCCGATTACAGCCCTCCGCAGGAGACGGCTATGCATGGTCGGTGTCAAAGTCTCAAGAATACTTATTGAAATCGAATTTGAGCAATGGAACGGTTGGCTTGTACCAGGCGATACTTGATGCACTTGGGCACTCGATCGAAGCTGTTAGTCCGCCGACGCTGCGGGAATCGAATGCTGGCTCCGATAAGAAGATGAGCGATGAGGTGAGCCACCAATGTTTGCCGAGGTTCCCAAATACTAAAAGCCAAAGGAGCCGAGCTCGTCGAATCCTTCTAAGCTACCCGGAACAGCTTTTGAGGGCGACTCTTTCACGGCCACTATTCAACGACTCGAAGGCGCAAAACAGGAACTTACTGCCGAGCTTGAACGTGCCCAGTTACATTCAGAGAAATTGTTTGACGAAAAAGAGGAGTGGGAGGCAAAGTATTGCAGGATTCACGAGGAACTCGGCAAGACCAAATCCCTGGTGAAACAGTTGGAAGAAGATCTGAGTCGCGCGCACATGGGGATTGCGAAAGCTATGGAGATGTTAAAGGGCCACCGACTTCCAGAAAAGACACAACCATGCGAGGCAAAGGATATTTAAATTTTAATACTTCTTTTTCATCAGGTTGCTTAGAGAGCTGTTGCCTCTTACCTTGCAGTCGGTATTCCAGGTCCATCCTCCTGTGCCCTAGTTTGCAATTGTGTTGGTGAGCTACAGTCCTTAATGGATTCAATGTAATCCTTAAATTTGCTCCTCCCGCTCTGTCTGATGGCTCACTCCGAGTGATCACACAACCCTAGAGGTCGCGCAGAGAACTTATAAATTCAATGTCGGGATACTTAAAGGTTATGTGGAGCGATGGTGTGGCGAGTGCCGAAGACATTCATATCTTTAGATCCTGTCGAGAATAGTGGGTCATCCACTATGTCTACTATGTCTACTCTGTCTATTATGTCTACTATGTCTACTATGTATACAAGTTCGTAAGTCCGCCCGAAGGGCGGTCCCAAGAAGGATGCCCGTGCCAGGTAACCCATAAAGGATTCCTGTAACTACGTGACCCTGACGAAAAAAAAAGCATGATTATACAGTCCCTCCGCAAGTTTCCGTGGATGCGGCCCCACACCTGCATTTTGAGGACGCGTGCCCACCAACTCACCTTCTTCAAACACCATGGTTCCCGAAACGCTCTTACGTCCTGTTAGTTTAAATAGGGTAAAAGGAAGTGAGTTACCTCCATACTTACGTGGTAAAACCATTGGCCAGGCTGAAATTAGGACCCCCACAGCCACTATTGCGCGACACTATGGTTCAACCCCTTCAACCATCAAATATACCCTTGCACAAGAACGCGCCCGAGCAGATAGGAAGAGCCGCCCTCAAACCCCTCTTCTCTCTGAGGCTGACAAACGCTTGATCCTCCCTTTAATTACGCGCGATCCCTCTATCGTGTACCGAGACATTCGCGAACAAAGCGGTTTAAGCGCTTTGGACGACACCCTCCTTCGTCTAGTGGAATTCTCGGGCTATGGCCATTGGAAGGCTAGAAAAAAACCCTTCCTAACTCTGGAAGTGGCCGCACTACGCCTAAAACAGTCTTTGGCCCACCAGAACTGGACGTGGAATGACTGGGAGCATGTTGTGTGTTCCGTCGAGATCGGGAAAGGGAAGCGCCACCGTTGGGTCTTCCACTTGAACCACGTCGATTCCTGTAGATCCCGCAGTTCCCATGAGCCCCACAAATCCCATAGATCCCACGATGCCATTAAGCCATACATGAGAATTAACAGAAAACTAACTAAATATATTAGCATAGTTCATACCGGTCTGCCTTCAGAGGACCAATACCGTGTGTTTACTGGAGTACCGAACGATTCGTTGAACTGTACAGTACAGTACAACCCAATCGATGTGATCACCATGCGTGTGGCCTTGTACAGTATTGTATGTGACTACTGTCAATCACAAACGAATGAAAATACTGTATATCTAAGCTTTGTCCAGAGAAGAAGTCACTTTGTCCAGCCACAACTCGTGCTGCGGGAAGGGTCCGCACGTTCCACTCTATATTCAGGGTTTTGGCCTGATGAAGAGCGCGTCTGTTCGAATAGCGTCGACCCATTCATGAGGTGCCTCCGCGGGGATTTGTATTGACCCTTTGAGGAAAATCTTGCCGCCGTCAATTTTGTCCGGCCATGCACGGAGAAGAATTGGTGCTGACGGTGGAACAGACTGAATAAACGATGTATTCAGGTAGGCAGTGAAGGCTGGTTCGTCACATTTGCAACAATTTGCGAGAATACGGTCCATCAGGAAGGCAATGTATCCACCAAACAATTTGCCATCGTAGTAGCACATTTGCTGGGAAGGAGTCAGGCGCAGCAGTGATTCTGCCTCCCACCCCAGATAATGAGGCTTGAAAATAGGACGGTATCCTCGGAATAGGGAACGCATCAGTTGATCAGAATGATCTATGATAGAATGCTGCTGCGGGCACAACAATTAGCATGTTACTACACAAATGTCCTAATATCACTTACAACCTGGGATCCACTGCACCAACCGAGGGGTGGAATCTGAAGGAGTTGGGCTAGCGATCGATGTCCGCGAAACAATCGCGAGAGGAGTGCAACGCAAGAAGACTGGTACATGTCCGCCGGAATATTCTCGAAGAATGCAAGATAATGATGGAAGTTCCCAAGCATCGAATAAAGGAACATGTATAAATTGGCTGTACCCTGATTTAAAGATCCCTGGGTAGGGCTTTTACCATTTCAGCTCAAAGTTGAGCGACCTACGATCGACCAATTGAACGATAGTGGCAATTGGGTAGGGCGGATTGCGAGATACAGCATAGTATGAAGGATCCGCCCAGTGCAGATTGAACGATCGTCCGTACAAGTATCTGCTGGTTATTTGACTGCGCTATATTTTGAAAAATAATTTAACCGGAGACTAATCTCATGACCGGATACGCCGTTCGGCATGGCCTACGTAGGCGGACTACACACTGTCGGTGAACTTTGCATCAGTAGATGTTCATTTCGCGTATTGCACTTTTGTTCAACTTTGCCGCTGAACGGGCCTGGCTAGATTTTCCGATCAATCAAACATTCATAATCTTGATATTAAGATAGCTGCTTCAGATGCAGGAAAGGAAGTGCCAAGGCTTCAAGGGGAAATAACCATCTGTCATACACTACATACGCCTTGCTCGTGTAGATGTAAGAGTGGTTAAGTGGAATGGGGGCTTTGGCCGTGTACCAGGGGATGCCCCAGGGAGGGATGAGGGCACACAATGATTCTATGAGAAATACTTTCAGGACACGGAGCTGATTGTTGATCGGGTTCTTCCAGAGAATTCCCAATGGGTAAATGAATGGATACAAGGATTTTTCAATCGCAACTGCAGAGCGATCAAGGTGAGTTCTCTGCTAGTGAAATTCATCTGAGAAGTCACGATCTGACCAATCCCCGGATTTTGCAATTCAGCATCTACTGCCCGCGTACTCATCGGCAGAGCTGACAAACCCAATTGAGAGAGTTGTCAAATGTGAAGAATTTCGGCGGATGCATCGTTGTAAACAATCGACCTCTGCAGGTTGCTGAATACCTTCCCACTCTATGATTTTCAAAGAGGAAAACTCGGAAAGACCATCCAGCGCACCTCCTGCATCAGGACACGACCCATCTGTGATGAGCGAGAGCCTATTGAGGCTTGTTTGATGTCGGCATAGATATCCATTTTTATCCAGAATACCCGGTGAAAGACAGGTGCTGCGACAGCTCCGCCCAGAGCAGATACGACAGCTATATGAGGCGTGTGTCGTACCGGTCATTGACTACGCGTCAACGGTCTGGCACGATCCACTCCGAGATAAGACCCATCTACGACAGCTACGCACCGTTCAGCGAACAGCACTCATCCGAGTTCTCTCTGCCTTTCGGACAGTGGCCACATCCACGCTCGAGGTTGAAGCGCATGTCCTCCCAACCCATCTTCGTCTCCGCCACCGCGCACAAAACACCATCACCAGACTCCACACCCTGCCTCAGAAACATCCTATATGGGACACCTTGCTTCGGGCCCAAAGACGACGGAATAACGTTCGATCGCGTGCCCGGTTCCCGCTGGCGGAGGCCCTGAAAACAATGAGCCTGGAGAGACTTCATGAACTAGAAATGATCGACCCCACTCCACTGCCACCGTGGCGGACAGAAGCCTTTTCGAAGATCGAGATTGAACCAGATAGGGAGATTGCGATGGAACGGGCGGGAGCGGCAAGGACCAACTCGGACATTGTCGTATACTCCGACGCATCTGGACGCCAAGGTCACCTAGGCGCCGCGGCCGTTGTGCTTGACGACTCGCTGAAAACAACTGAGAAACTACAGATACAAGTGGGACCCATGGAACGATGGTCTGTGCATGCCGCCGAACTGATCGGAATCCTGTATGCCATCAACATCATCAACAAGATCGCCCTTCCAACGCCGGAGATCAACCAATGCGCGGGTGAGATCTACCACCATCCTCAGCGACAGCATGTCGGCTATACAAGCAATCCAAAACCCAGGGAACAAATCAGGGCAACAAATCATCCACGCTATTCTACGGGCTGCTGCAAACACCAAGACCCACGGCATCGCTGTCCGACTACAGTGGATGCCTGGACATTGCGAAGCACCTGGGAACGACACCGCAGACCAACTGGCCAAAGAGGCAGCCACACCTGGCAAAACCCACCCATTTTCCCCCTTGCTATCACGCGAGAGGGCCCACATTAGGAAAGGAATCCACACCCAATGGGAGAGAGAATGGAAGGAGTCTAGGAATGGCGGCCACCTTCGTGTGATTGATAACGCATTGCCGGCCAAATACACGAGGCGGCCCTACGGATCTCTGCCAAGGAATCGAGCGTACCTACTCACGCAATTGCGAACGGGACACTGCTGGTATCAACATATGCGAAGACTTTCCGCTTCCGCGATGACGACCTGTGCGTCTGCGGCGAACGGGAAAGCCTGATACATGTTCTGCTAGACTGTCCTGCACTCAGAGACCTGCGCCGAGAGCTCCGGGTGAAGGTCGGCGACGCGTTCAATAGCATGCCAACACTTCTAGGAGGATCTGGAGAAAGGGGGAGAGGTAGGCCTGATAATGCTTCACGTGCCAAGACGGTGGAGGCCGTCTTGGACTTCGCGGAGGCGTCCCAACGATTTCGAAGCCGCGCGCCATGAGGGCAGCAAGACAAGCAAGGGCTACTAGGCCACGACAGGCCCCGACGAGGCTCTAAGTTCGTTTAGGAAGGGGTGCACGATACATGTTTGAACATTCAGATATATAGTTGTGGTAGCCTGCATATCGCTTTTTTGCGAGGGGTCAGGGTAAATGAAACCAACCAACCAACCAACCGACTGTAATAATATCAGGCCCCTTTATGATACCAGTATGAAAGATTCAATGTCCTAGGATAGAAGACTAGAGCTTCCAGAAGGTTCCATGCAAACCCAGCAAACAAAGACAGCTCTTGAATTGGCAATCTATCAACAATTCTCCTCCTGCACCTCGCATCTGTTTCACTGCAGAAAACCTCGAGCTTCCCTTGGGGTCCATCCGGGGTCAGGTTGATAGTCAAGGCTCAACAGTATGGCACCTTACCGTAATCTCCGCCAACTCATCATCATGCTTCACTTTTGCATCTTACTGGACGTCGGATTCCTGGCTAATCACCTTCAGCTCGTTTTGCCTAGGCTTCCCGTTGCCCGAAGATATCCACTGACCGATAGCCTTTTCGGTGATTTTGCCTATCAACCCCGGACGATCGACCCATGGGACGAGAATTCACAATATGCCCCCAGCCCCGTAACTTTCGTCGCACACCCGCCACCTCGTACTCTGCTAGCCCTTCCCCGGATTGTGCCACGGACCAGTGAGATCACATTAACTTTCTGCCATTGGCTGAATGAGAAGGTGGCGAAAGCCTCCCAGATATATCTGCTACACTATACAGTCGAAAACAGTTTCCCCCTTGTGGACACATCGTTTGATTCTCGGTCCGTACCCGAAGCCACGCTAAACCATATGAAGTTACTTTAGAAACAGTCACTGTTTAGCCGTATCGCACCTTTTAACGTAATGGATTTCAGCATGGACTGAGTCATTTTAAAATACGGTGAATTCCCAGAAAATATTCAAGTGGGTTCTCGAAGGGTAGGAAGAGATCTGCCGAGGTGGGTTGATCTACCTTCAACGTCCTTGGCTCCTTCATTTCCCTCCGTACTCTTCAGCTCCATGTTTTGCGTCCCATGAAGAAGGCTACTGCTGTAGACAATGTGGCCTGGTCGAATATATATTTAGTACGCACGTGGCTTGTTTCCTGGATCCTGGGACAATCCATGCTTAATCTGGTGACTCTCCTGACCAAAAGGACATTTCTCAACAACAGGCCAATCAGAGCAGAGCTGACAGGTGGCAAGCTTGGCATTCCCCATCACTTTCTGAATCTCTGTCGCTTCGTTTACATTCTGAAATTTCTCGCCTCATTCCAATTCAAAAGGCTGGTTGCTACATAATATATGCAGCGTGCTTTGTCCCTGAGCATATTTCTTTGTCGAACAGCACTTTAACCTACGAACTGACATGGACGGTATTAGCAATGCCGCCTCCTTGGTCGCACTCCTTCAACTAGCAGGCGCTGTTATCAATTACCTGAACACGGTCATCGATGCACCCGCTCAGAAAAGAAAGCTACTTGCTGCGCTTATTCAGGCTCGAGGCCTGCTCTCTACCCTAGTCGAACTCACGAACGAGGTTCAAGATGAAGATTGGTCACATACCATTCAAAGCTTATCCGCCCGCAATGGCCCATTGCCCACATTCCAGGAGCTTCTTGAGCGCATGGCCAGGAAGCTAAGCATAACACATTCCGGCGCCAGAACCAAAACTGTTCTTGATCAGCTTCGGTGGCCGTTCGATCAGACTAGTTTCCAAGAGATGATTACTTCGCTTGAAAAGCTAAAGTCGCATTTCCTTTTAGCTATGGCGAATGACCATATTCGGCTTTCCAAGGCCATCCGAAGTGAGCTTCACGAACTTCAGAAGCAGTTGACTGAAGCTACTTTTCGTACGCAAAGGCAAACCGTAATGTCGCTTTCTAAAGAGCAAGAGCTCATTGTGAAGTCTTTGTCTTTGGGAGGATTGTTTCACGAGTTGAATGGAGACGAAGTCATGGAGAGGAGGGCCGGTGCTGAGTGGTTTCTACGCCACAATGTCTTCAAAAAATGGCATGATACGAGTCATACTCCAAGCACCCTGGTGCTCACAGGCTCTCCGGGATCAGGCAAATCATCAATTTGCGAAGTGACCCGGTTCTTCCTCAAAGTCTGGCATCAGTCAGAAATTGACACTTGTGTCGTATACTTTGCCTTTAACTTCTCACAGCGAGGGAAGCTCAGCGAGGCTCTGGTGTTGTCCAACATCGTGCAGCAAATATTGTTGGAGCGTCCCTACCTCATGGAACACATTGCCGCTCTAAGGGTCACTGGTGGCCCGTTATCCTTAATCGAGAGTATCGATCTAATCCGCCGAGCTCGGCGTGACCTCAAACACTTCTATGTTATACTGGATGGACTGGACGAGTGTGAAGGGACGAGTCGAAACGTTGTCGAATCTCTTCTACAAATCAAACCGCCCGTGAAGATCTTGGCAGCAGGGCGAGGAACAAGTGCAGCCTTCGGGAGCCTACAAGACAGTGTTATAGTCCACGCTGACGATGCCATGACTTTATCTATCCACTTTGACATGATAAAGAAAATGCTCGAGAAGAACGCTCGCATAACAGCATATCTTGATCACAGTCCTGAAACCGTTACCAAGGCAGCCAATCTCATTTTCGAGCAGAGTAATGGGAGGTATGAACTTTTCAAAAGCGCTTACAAGCGGCTTTACTTGACATCCTTTGGTTACTATGATGTGCATCATTGAACATGCCGATGACTAACCCTTCATAGTTCGATATCCGCGACTACTATGATAGAATCTCTAGCTCAGTCCGAGACCAGAGCCACTTTTGAACGTTTACTGAACGACGCACCTTTAAATCTCGTTGAGTTGTACGAGTTAAAGCTCGACGATGTCGTGCACCAGCCAACGGAATTAGCGGTGTTGGCCAAGAAGGCTCTGGGGATAGTGCTTGATACTAAAGGTCCTGTTACCGTGAGCAAGTTGATGGGTGCTTTAACTACGGAATTAACGGACGTCGCATCCGCGCAGCGTCTTGGGAGGGGTCTCACAGAGGCGGAGACAACTGAGACCATTTGTTCGAGTTGCAAAGGATTTCTATCTGTTGTTGAGCCTGGCACGCGATTCCACTTTGTCCACCAAAGTGTTAAAGAATTTTTCGCAGCCCGTGACATTTCTTAGTCAATTTATTTCCCATCTACAGACATTTGCGTGATCCCTCAGCCGAGGGTCTTTTTAGACCAACATTTAAATGCATCCTGATACTCGAGGTCACCAGCATCTAGAATTCAACCCATAGCAGTATTCCATTTCATCAAAGTAAAGACATGGCCTTCAGCGGCGTCAGCTGTTAGAGATGTGGTTAATGGCTTGCTGTACACTACCATACGGCCTAACCAGGTTTTACCGAGTTTAGTATTATACCATTCAACGCCAGAACAGATCTTCAAATACTAGACTAACATAGTCGGAATAGCGTTTTATTTGATTAGGGTTTGAAAGTGCCTCTCTATGTTCCCCGACATGGAAGGCAATAGCGGTCGCGACTGTAATCGCCCCGAAGACCACTGTACTAGGTGATACTCAAGGGGTAATGTTTTGAGCTCGACGTTGTGGTTGATATTCCGACGATATAAACATTGCGGCATTGTGCGCGGAGCGGGAACTTACCCCTGACTGATGGCGGACCCACCCGCGGGAGGGCCCGAGACCCCTCCCACAAACACGCAGGAAACCACCGCCAGCTTCACGGAGGACGACCTCGAAGCCAGAACCACCATCGAAAGCCGGAAGCGAACCCGGAGTGGAGATATCTTCGCTCCGTCGGATCCAGCCGGTCGAATCACCACCAAGGAGGTGTGGAAACTGATCAGCACCCTGAAGGACGTCATCCGCCACCAAACCACGACCATCGCAGCCACGCAAAACGAACCCCAGGAGATCAAACACAATCAGAATGTCCTCCAGGAGCAGAACGAGAGGCTCCACGAGGAAGTGAAAGCACTACGGGAGCAGCTCGAGAGCGCCCCAGCAGTGACCGCGAGCAGGACCTGGGCAGCAGTCGTAGCCAAGGGCGGCAATACCACACCCCCGCTGAACCACCAACAGTCTGAGAAAGAGCAAAACTGCGTCCGAATCAGCACCCAGAGAACCTTTGTCGATCCAAGAAACAATGAAGACAGCGACGGAAACGCATTTGGACGATATCTCCCCACCGATGCCGTCAACACCCACATTCGCACTGCATTGCAGAGCGACGATGCAACGCAAGACGCCCAAGTAGCGGGCATTGGCACCACCAAGACCGGCTATTTTATTCGATTCAAAAATACGGAGTCGGCTGAAGCAGCGCGCAATAACACTGGATGGCTACACAAATTAGGCAACAACACGAAACTGGTCAAACCGCGATTCGGTGTTGTAGTCCACCGTACCCCTACCGAGGAATTTGACCTGGAAACAGGGGCCGCCCAGGCAGCGGAGAAGATCAGCAACGACAACGACCTGGCGGAACTCGGTTTCCATATCGACGAACTGGCCTGGATAAAAGCGAAAGATAAGGCCCTGGGGAAGTTCGCATCGTTGGGAATCTGGTTTGACTCCGCAGAAGGAGCGGAACACATGCTGCGGAACGCCTTCCTTGTCAGCCAGCACTACATTCCTTATGTTGAGCGACGTGAGATCAAGAAAAAGAGGTGTTTTCGGTGCCAACGGTTCGGACACTTGGCATGGACGTGCAAGGAAACGCCACGATGCGGACACTGTGCAGGACAACACGAGCGTGAACGATGCCCACCGGGAGTGAGAGCACGGTGCCTGGATTGTAGTGGCGAACATCCGACCGACGATCGACAGTGTCCAGGACCAGCGACCACCAACCCCCTCAGATGCTAGAGAGAAACCTCCGTATCCTACAGTTGAACATGATGAAATCTGGACCAAGAATGGAGGCACTGATCAATGATCCTCAAAGCCAAGACCTGGATGTCCTTCTGATCCAGGAGCCGTCCATCACCACGTACCGCACACACGTCAATCACAGCGCCTGGCGACTATATCGGCCTACCGCACAGCTCGATGCTGGTCGGTTTCGCAGCCTGATCTACGTCAACAGACGAATCTCCACCTCCTCACACCGTCAGATACCATGCGACCACCCAGATATCGCGGCCATCAAGATCTGGACAGCTAACTCTCAAACACTTCTCTTTTCTATCTACATTCCGCCAGTACCACTTTTCACCGGCGATGACGCATCGGCGTTGCCAGCCCTCACTGCGATTCAGAGCTCCATCGCAGCTACTACACAAAACGAGCAGCGGTCGACCAGTATTATTGTTTCTGGCGACTTCAACCGACACCATCCGATGTGGGGCGGCAATCACGTCGCGCCCAGGTTTATCGAAGACGCCAGCGACCTAATCGACTTTTTCCAGACTCACAACCTCTAAAGCTGCCTCCCCCGAGGCACGGCAACTTACTGGGCCTTGAACAACCCAGGACAAAACTCAACCATTGATCAGACCGTGACAAACAGCCCGAGCCTGCTCGTCAAATGCCATCTGTACCACGAGAACTACGGATCTGACCACCGCGCCACCTACTCGGAATGGAATTTGCAGCCCCAGACTAAGCCAAGAACCAAAGCGAGGAAAGCGTACGGACGGGCGGACTGGTCCAAAATCGGCGAGGAAGTAGCTCGTCAGATGTGGCCATGGAGGGACATTAAGACCCGGCCAACACTCGACCGAGTGGTGGAGAAGCTCACATCAGCGACGACCCAGGCGGTCGACCGATTCACGCCCGACATGCGCCCAACACCATACTCTAAGAGATGGTTTACCCCGGATCTCAAGGTGCAGCAAGTGGAAGTCAATCAGCTACGCAGGAGGTGGCAGGCGAGCTGCGCGGAGCTCGGACGAGACCACCCTAGCACCACGGCTGCCTTTCAGGATATGCGACAAAAGCGGCGAGCGTGAACCCGGACCATCGGGAAAACCAAAGCATCACACTGGAGACAGTTCCTAGACGAAGCAGGCGAAGGGAAGCTCTGGAAAGCCGCGACCTACATGAAGCCTCGGGAAACATGGGGTTGTACCCCGACATTGCGAGCTGGCTCGGAGGAGATCACCCAGAATGAAGACAAAGCGAAAGCTTTCCTTGACGCGTTCTGCCCTATTATGCACACGCCCGAGCCTGGGCCATCGATCTCACCGCACCCTGAGCTCTCGTGGTATCCGATCACGGAACTAGAGGTTGAGCGATCACTGAGGATAGCAAAGGGGTCGACAGCGCCAGGGGAGGACAACCTACCGATGCTGGTCTGGAAAAATCTATGGGTACATCTGAAGACCTATATTGTCCACATTTTCACGGCATGTGTAGATTTAGGACACCATCCAAAACAATGGCGCAGCGCGAAGATCATTGTGTTACGGAAGCCAGGCAATCCAGACTACTCGCTTTCCGGCGCCTATCGACCAATCTCACTGCTGAACACGCTCGGCAAGCTCCTCGAAGCAGTTATAGCGCGACGGCTCTCCTATCTGGCAGAAAAGCACAGCCTGCTGCCGAACAGCCAATTCGGCGGACGCCCAGGCCGAACCACCGAGCAAGCCTTGGTGGTGCTGTCTAATGCGATAGACCAAGCGTGGTACAAATACAAGGTGGTGACTTTAATCTCATTCGACCTCAAGGGTGCCTTCAACGGGGTGAACTGGGTGGGCCTAGATCACTCGTTACAGGCGAGAGGGATCCCGATGATAGTACGGAAGTGGATTGCAAGCTTCATGAGTGACCGTCATGCCAACATCGGATTTGACGATTTCCGTACAGAGACAGAGCCCCTCGCACATGCAGGACTAGCGCAAGGATCTCCACTCTCTCCTATCTTGTTTGCATTCTTCAACGCCGACCTGGTCGACCAACCTGTCGACTCCCACGGAAGCGCGTCGGCATTCATTGACGACTACTTCCGATGGCGAGTAGGCCGCTCAGCCGAGGATAACCTAGCCACCATGCAGTCCGAAGACATCCCTCGTATCGAGAAGTGGGCACGGCGAACCGGATCTAGCTTCGCTGCAGAGAAAACCGAGCTCATACACCTCACCAGAAAGAGGGGAGAGCACCTGGAAGGGCATCTTACCTTTAATGGAACCGACGTTAAGCCGTCACCTACAGCAAAATTGCTAGGGGTAATGTTTGAACCATGAACTCCGCTGGAAGGAACACGTTCAGCAGGCCATCAAACGTGCTACCAAAACCACAATCGCTTTAAGTGGACTACGGCATTTGCGTCCAGAACAGATGCGACAGCTCTACCAAGCATGCGTCACACCTATCGTGGACTATGCATCGACAGTCTGGCATGACCCGCTTCGGGACAAGACCCACCTACGACAATTGAACACAATACAGAGAGCCTCATTGATCCGAACTCTGTCGGCATTCAGGACGGTAGCGACAACAACGCTAGAGGTGGAAGCCTACATACTTCCTACACACCTCCGCCTCCGCTATCGAGCGCAACGCACCATCGCAAGACTACACACTCTGCCTCGTGATCACCCCATCTGGAGTGCCCTATCACGAGCCCAGAAACGCAGGGACAATATGAGATCACGCTACAGGTTTCCCCTCGCAGAAGCTCTCAAGACCATGGACCCGTCCAGGTTGGCAACACTGGAATCGATCGATCCGAGACCACTTCCACCATGGAGCACCGAGGCGTTCGCGGAGATTGAGATTGAGCCAGACCGAGAACTGGCAAAAGAGCGCGCGGACAAGGCACAGTCACATTCCGACCTCGTCATCTACTCAGACGCCTCAGGGCGTGAGGGCCATCTGGGGGCTGCCGTCGTCACACTCAACGAAAACGACGAGGTCATGGAATCTCAACAGGTCTAGGTGGGGCCGATGGAGCGTTGGTCGGTTCATGTAGCAGAACTCATTGGCATCTTTTATGCGGTCAATATGGTGTTCAAATTGGCCCACCAACGTTCAAACATCCTAAACGGGGTTCCCATAACAGCAACAGTCCTATGCGACAGCAGATCGGCTCTACAGGCGGTCCAGAACGTGAAGAATAAGTCGGGACAACGCATCGTCCACGCAATCCTCCAGGCAGCTGCCGAGGTGCAAAGGGAGAACATCAGACTTCGCCTCCAATGGATGCCAGGGCACTGTGAAAACCCAAGGGAACGACACTGCAGATCGACTCGCCAAAGCCGCGCAACCGGGTAAAAACCAACCCCTTTCGGCCGTCACTATCGAGGGAGAACGCGTTTGTCCGCAGCAATATTTATGCCCAGTGGGGGCAAGAGTGGAACTCAAGCGCCAAAGGTGCTCACCTACGAAAGATGGACGGTGGCCTACCGGCGCGGTACACGAGAAAGCTCTACGGGAATTTACCCAGGAATCGCGCCTACCTGCTGACGCAGCTACGCACGGGTCACAACTGGTTATCCACCTACGCGAAGAAATTCGGCTTCCGCGATGATGATCTATGTGAATGCGGTGCGCAGGAGACGGTCACCCACGTGCTGATGGAATGCCCGAGGCTCCGAGAGCTGAGGGTAGAATTGAGACAGAAAGTTGGGGACGCGCTGAACGGCGTGTCGAGTCTGCTGGGAGGCTCAAACGAAGGAGAGCAAGGTAAACCAGACATCGTCTCGAGGGCCAAGACGGTTCAGGCCGTATTGGACTTCGCCGAGGCGTCACAGCGGTTTCGCAGTCGTGCGCCATGAGGGCAGCCTAACAATGGGAGCGGCAGTGGGCCACGAGAGGCCGTGACGAGGCTCTAAGTTCATGTCAGGAAGTGGATCATTCTCAATGTACCTACTCGGATATATAGTTGTCGTATACTGCATATCGCTTCGGCGAGGGGTCAGTGTAAATGAATACTACTACTACTACTACTACGACTGTAATCGCCACTTGAAGAGACACATGAGGAAAGAAAAGTGAGTGTACGTTCGTGAATAGCTGCACCACCTGCCTTGAATGAAAGTAATTGATGTGACCAATACGCAGCGACCTGAAGCAATGCCTTGACCGTCACGCTTTTGAACCTCCTACAGTGATTCAAAAATGTGAGCCTGGATAATAGACACGTATTACCTACCGCCCGAAACCGCAATAATCAGATGTAAATTAGACTTGCGATTAAGCACAGCATTGTTTCTTCCGCTGATGGGAATGCGGTATAATATATATAGGTAGTGGAAGGTGTAGTGCCAATGCGCCAATTTTTGTACTTTTCCAGCTTTTTCCGCCTACGACAGAATGGATGAGATTGCCGAAATAGTCCGAGAGATTGGTCGTCAGCAGGGTGAGAATGCGTACTATCGCTCTTGTTACGAGTCCCTCAAACGGTTGCAGGATTTAGTTGCTGAAGCCTCCGATGACTTGTCTCAGCTTTATCAACATAATACATACAAACCGCCTTGCGACATTCGGGCTCACCAAGTGGCGGACGGACTGCGAAGGGCAATCGATGCACTGATTTTACAAGAACGGAAGGCCCAGCTGGCGTTAAGTGAACTGTATACTTTCTAATTTTACGTCGAAAGTGCTTTGGTGAAGCAAATTGGTAGACTCTTGCAATATCAAGGAGGATAATTGTCTTCGACAATGTTCCCGGGCAAGTTCCCTTCGCCTTTGCTTTTGTAGAACTCACGGCCCCTCCATTATCAACTTCACGTCTCTACTTCAGCCGGTTTGTATTTGTCGATATCATTTAACCTGACCCCTTCGCCGAAACGATGAGAGATCACTGATCGGTAAGCTTTGATTGAACGGTCGTGACAGCGTAGCCCTGTGAGATACCATGCAAACGAAGGACAGTAGTTGGCATCTTATGCTATCAAAACCATGTTCAAATTTGGTTCCCGTTGCTCTTAGGTCACAAACATCTACAGGAGCGAGAAATCAAAGCATGGTTTTGCGATCGTCTTTGCGCTGTCGGATTTATCCTTGCAACAAGATGACTTGTTTGGATTTGATGTCCAACTAGTGAAGGGCTAGATGGTTCAACGTGCATTCGCTCGGTACTGCGGTTGGTGTGGAAGCCGCTTAAACAATAGGCTTTCAGATGAAGAGCATCATAACATACTGAAAAGACTACTATTTATGGATGACGGAGTATACCTTAATATCTTCGACACGGTCCCAGTCTCTCAATATGCAGTTGCGAGCATTGCTGGTCTGCACGCTCCAGTGCATGCTTGGCAAGCTGAGGAATCCAGGAATTTAGGGATGCGGCTGGCCAAGGCTCAATTAGCCTGGCGTCTCCAGGGAGGCCATGTCCAATTCCTTCCCTGGGTATTGAGAGATGGGCGCTTAGCTTGTAAGCGAACTGGCGTCGTTGATTGACCCGAGTTTATGACTGGGCGGTAAGACATGACATCGCTTCTGTTCGACGCTTCCGATACTGGATCCTCACACAAAAAAGGGCGGCTGTTCAGGAATGCAACGAAGATGGAATCTTCCATCAGGTCACGTATGCTTTTCACGGCGGGGTCAAATACCTCGGGAGGCAGTGGTGTCGAAAAGTCTCTGCGTAGGAGAGCGTCGCTCACGTCGACGGGAAGGTTAACCTCACGGGGCGCTCCGGGCATGAGGTATGTCGTCAGGAGAAGCTGGCAGAGCGTGCGTAGGTGTTGGTTTGTCGAGTCGTCAGTCATAACTGTGGACTCACCCGCTCGGTCGATGAGCGAGTTATACGTCTCTCGATAACGATTCGCTTCTACGATAAACTCCAGCGTCTCGAGGCAGTGCTTTTGGGAGAGGTATGCAATGAATTCGCTGAGGGTGTACGGTGGAGGCATAGTGTCGGACAACACATCATCGAGCGTCGGCCGCAAAGCTGATCTGTAGGCCCCACGTGCTTCTGATTTGCCTAGTGAGGGGACATTGGAGGCAGGGCCGGTCTCGTGTGTCATCCTGCAGGTGCATGGCGGGTATAGATATGGGTGGCACAGGTAATGCATAGAATTGCGACGCAGCTCAGAGGGATACGTCTTTCAACGGGGAGTTTCCTTTAGGGCCATAGCGAACTGGCACGTGGAACTCATGTAAAAAAGAGAACGGAGGGATCGCTCAGATGGGCTGTATGCTGGCGAAGCAATCGCCGGCGCGCTTTGCCTGATTCGGGGAGAGTTCCATGGAACTGTACAAAGTCTACTGTCCTCAGTTAAGCAACCCCTCTATCTCATTTAACATTATAGACAGGCATACCCGCAATTTTGCAGCTAAAGACCAATGCTTAACGGACCCTTCTCGGCAACCCATTCACAGCGTAGCCCATGTTAGAGATACGCTATGGGCTTCTCTCGCATTGTCGGTAAGCACACAACCTGCCACTCTCCAATACATATCTGCTCTTCGCAACCTAAGAGTGTGTCTTCCAACTGGGAGCAACTGCCATTTGACTGGTTGCATAGGAAGGACAAGCTGCGAAGTGAGAAGCTTCGGTACTGATTTCAAGACTGGTAATAAGGCCTTGATATGTGCCAAAATGCGCTATTGTATATTCTGCTGTGATAACGGCTGGTCAAGTGAGCCACTCCCGAGGGGTTTTGTGGGGATTTTTCTTTTGGTTAAATGATAATCGCCGATTAATCTGGAACTGGGATCAAAGGTGACGCCATGAGATGCCTTCAGTGTCAGTGGATGGACTCACTCCACCCGAGCTATTACATTATCTGCCTACATATCGGGTATTGATCTGCCGATGTTGCAGCTACGCCATCCAGCCTGGTGCAGTCGCTCGTCATCTCAAAGAAATCCACCATCTTCATCATCTATCGCGTCGAGCATTCATCGACTACGCCTCCCAATTTGAACTGGATCGACCCGCTGATGTTGTCTTGCCTGATGAAACCCAGTTCCCAGTGCCGTTACTGCCCATACAGAATGGGCTAGCCTGTTCCTTTGCCCGCTGCGACCATCTTTGTGTTACAACTAAGCGCATGAAGCAGCACTGGATGACTGTTCACCACATCGCAGCCTCTGATAATGGAGGTGATCCCGCGTGTGCCATTGGAGACGACCGAGGGCCGGCTATCCTTCACTCTCCGTCGCGTGTAAATTCCAATCCGTCTCTGTTTCGCTATCACGTTTAATAAGAGCCAGGTACAGTCGTTAAAAGGGTGGGTGTGGAGTGGCAAATCTATCGGTCTTACAGACCTACACGTAGAGGCCTCGCATGCAACAGAAGATGTTCTATTTCCAGAGGTCGTACAGCGCTTCCATACAACGGAGTCAGCTGTACAAGTTAGTTAGATGTGGGGTTGCCCTTTTCTTCTCGCGTTATCATTGGCCCTATGTAAAACTGCATGCCCGCCTTCTGTTTAGCCTACTCTCGCGATGCCCAAATGAAAATGTCCTAACTATCAACCTCCTGCGATTAACTTATTGACTACGGACTTCGCCTTCAAGCCTCCCGAGCGAAGCGAGGGTAAAAGGCTTGTCCAACATAATCAAAACATTATTCTATCGCAATTGGAAAGCGACAGGTAGGTTTAGTAGCAAGCCGATAAAACCATAGCACAAGTGGCTCTATTTATATAAACTTGGTAAGGAAGCAAAATGTTTCGACAGAAACGAAGTTTAGATAATCTTTCAGAAAATGCTTCAGAATTAGAACTCGGCACCAACCGCTGTCAAACCGTTGCGGTGCGTTTAGGTAACCACAAAACGCGGTTAAGGTTTGGAATGATCTTAATTGCCATCGGTTGGGCCACATTCAGAAACCGCACTTGGATACTGTGGTTAGACAGCGGTTTAGCAAACAGGTCAAATCGCTGAGAGCCTATAATTACTCAATTCATGTAAACTATGACTTCGTTATAGAATAAGATAAATTTAGATTCCTAGATCTAGATTCTACATTTACGATCCAGTTACGCAAGACTTCCTTGACTTGATATGATTCTCACCAGCAATTGCCATGCTAGACCTTGCGATCCAAAACGGTTGTAGACAAGGGTTGAAATCGATATCTGTGAGTATTTTCATGCGGTTTGCCGGTTTCTTCGCGGTTGACCGTTTGTGGCGAGGTCTATTCAGAATCAGCCACCTCTATAATTAAGTCTCCTGGATCTGGATGTCTCTGTATTCGGTCGCTTTAGATATACGGAGAGAAGACAAAACAGACCTGTTAGAAGAGGACCGGCGAAACAGAAAGGCATCAAACAAAAGAGGAACGAAACAATAGAGGAAAAAGAACGGGTCTGAACCTAAGTTTTGATCAGCCGGATGTTCCTGATATCTGTCACGAGCTATGATATCCTGAGGCACGTGATCGAGAAGGTGGGTGCTTGTTGTGCCTGAGGCACTAAGATCATGAGCATGAGAAGCTCATCTCAGATAGTTGCTTGCCGCTTGTTCTTTCCTTCCTCACGTTTAGTTTCTTAAATATCAGCACTCTTTCTATCAAGATCTGGCTCGTAACAATATCCCCAGACGAGACCTAATGATGAAAATGCCTCATGCATCTTTCATTGGCGTCACTTCCAGACTTCCATATCCAGGAACCAATCGCCAATTTCGGTAATAGCATTCATAGCTGAAGCGCTTGAAACCCACTAGAACACAAGGATTGATCTTATTATCAGGAAGGCTTTCTTTGGGTCGATACTCCAATTGTGGAGTCAAGCGGAGGTGCATATAACAATGATTCATTCTCAAAGAGCTTCAACAAGGAAAAGGGAATGTCTGTGAGGACAAGAATGATCCTGATACATAATAGGGGTATTCAACATACCGTCGAGTTTAGTACAATTTCTTTTTAATTGAACCATTACAATTTGCGGCTAATAATCATTTTCCGGACAACTAGAGCTGATGATCTTATTGATAGTTCAAAATCCACCAATCTGTTCTTTTTTTCCCTACTATTTGCCTGTGATGGAAAAAGCTTGCATTCAGTATACTGAGGCGGGAGGATTATCGACAGACATCAAAGAACATCGATTGGACCGGGCGCATATTGTACCTCATTCGGGTTTCTGAAACCACCAAGTCACAAATTCCGTCGAATAGTCTTCAAACCCATGCACACCAAGCAGGTTTTGAACACCCGACCTCCACTCCGTCGGGTTGTCTGTAACTGAATCTGGAAGATCCAGTCCACTGCTGATTCGAAACTTGGTTCGAATCCATCCTTTTGGGAAAAAGCCAGCAACTTCCCAATCAATGATACCGACGACGCCAGTCTCCGGTGTTTCTTCCACCATGATGTTTCCAGGGCCGAGATCAGCATGGTAGAATACAAATTTTGAACAGTCCATATTCATAGATTCACACCCTTGAAGGAGGTTGTGGGAAGAGTAATCTTCCTTCGCTCCGTATTTGATTAGGAACGGTTCAAGTACATTCTTCCCGTCCACGCCACTCAGCATGTCACTCTCCAGGCTCCCGAGGAATTTGCAGACGCTCACTACGGCATCCATGTAGTGGTCCCTCCATTCTTTATTTAGAGTGGGCCAAGCGTTTGCAAGGGTTCGGCCTCGAACTCTGCTCAGAAACAAATAAGACCGGCCATTGTGCTCTGTTTCATGCAAGACCTTGGGGATCTCAAAATAAGGCCGCTGTCCATGGACATACTTCAATGTGGCAGCCTCTGGTGTTGTACCAGGCACGCTTAGTTTGACCTTGCAAAAAGCGCTTTTTCCTACAGACCAGACTGCAGAGCTGTCCCCAGCATCATACACCAATCGGATATTCGAATGCTCCGCTGGCAATGGTACGGATGGAGGCAAGGGAATAGGTGCGCTGGTGAGGGTATAACTGAGATCGTCGTCTTGATCGTACCAGGTCGAGGTAGAATGGTAGCCTTTTGAACGATGAAGTGTCAAGGGTCCGATGAGCCAGGTGTCTGCATCCACCTCCTTGATTGACTCCCTCACAGGGTCATCCATGGCCTTGAGTAAGACAAGCTTTCAAACGTTGTTGATTTTGATATTCGTCACACTAGAAGTGTGGATAGCAGTCGGGAATTTTATTTTCAAGAAAATTGAGGCACGAGTTGGAAGAAATTCGGGGAAGTGGTGGCTATTATACACGTCCACTTGGCCACATGATCAATACCCAGCAACGAGAAGGATCCAATCACAGCTTAGTTAGCAGCAAACTAAAAGTGGAACCCGAAAAGACGTTCCATTGGTAGAAAAATTGACATTCCCCCCAATAGCAGGCAGTAATGAATTGCTTTGAATTATATTCCAATCTGTACCGGGCGGATAATTTCACCTGGTTTTTTCTTTGATTGTTTACCATATGTTGGACGAAAATGGGGGCGCCCTGTATCATAGACACGGTCAAATTGTGTATGATTAGCGTGACGATTCAGGTGCTCCAACATCAAACTCGACTTCTCAGTGATGCCAGGCCTAATCCATCGGTCGAAGATGTACCCTTGCTCATGTTCGGCAGCCCAATATGATCTGGGCCAGATCTAAACTGAAGTGGGTTAGTTTTCTTGAGGTCAAAAACAACTAAGCAGGAACGAAACAACAGAGGAACGAAACAACAGAGGAATGAAACAACAGAGGAACGAAACAACAGAGGAACGAAACAACAGAGGAACGAAACAACAGAGGAAAAAAGAACGGTTCTGAACCTGAGTTTTGATCAGCCGGATGTTCCTGATATCCCCAAGACGAGACCTAATGATGAAAATGCCTCATGCATCTTTCGTTGGCGTCACTTCCAGCCTCCATATCAGCAGCCAATCGCCAAGTTCTTTGATAACATAGCTGAAGCGCATGAACCCCAATAGAACAAAGTCATCGGTCGCCTGATACTAACAGAGAACCGTGCACGCGCAAGATATATAAGGCTACGGAGACGTCCAGTTCGCTGAAGAGAATAGTCTGTAATAAGACACCGCAAAAACATTTGAATCCCAGTTTCTTTTTCCTTCCCCGTGAGCTTTGACCGCCCAAGTGAGCTTAAAGCCCATCGAGTGATTAAATACTATGTATGACTGACGAAAAAGCAGAATACATCATCCCCGTGAAAGAAGAAATCCTTACCGCGCCTTACACCGACACTTTGCTACCCTGAGAGTCAGCTGCTATACGTATCATGGCAATCATCAGTGGACGGAGTCAGCTTGTCGACATGATGAATTGTCCTGTTTGTGGGTACAACAACATGACCCGTGCTCCCTCCTGCACTGGCCTCGTAAGCGACGGCAAAGGCGGAACCAAAGTTTGCGGTGTCATTCTTCTAGTAAGAAGTTAGGATATTGCTCGCTTCTATGGCAAGAAGCAGTGTGCGTTTCCCTCGACTTCCAGACTGAAGGATTATTCTAATCATTAGCAGGGTGTTCATTGCGTTAAGATTCCAATAGTGGAGTTAGGAGGAGGTAGACATAATAAGGATTCAACTCCAGAGTGCTTCAACAAGTAAGGAAACCGGGATGTCTATGTGAAAGTGGATGGGGTTCTGGATAAATGCGATATCCAACATATTGTCAGCGTCTATGCTAGTTCTCCTACCTCAAATTGAAAGCTTGTTACATTGCATTATATTTCATTCTTGATACCTCAATACTGTAAGCTTTAAACTTGGGGCGGTGCTCACTCTCATTCCACCTGGCATAATCAAATCTACAATCGGTGCGCAGGCTGTAGGCCTTCAATCAAAAGCAAGGTAAATCCGCCAGCCAGCCGTATATAGGATGGCTGAATCCTGCACATAATAAGTGGACATATCAGAAGGCTTGTCTTCAACCTCATTGAAATAACCTCTGCATGTAGCTTGCTTAGTCTCTTCATAGATCAGGGGGACATGCATGTGATGGACGAGGTCGTTGAGTGTTAGAAATTCAATTCCCCGAGCAAGGGTAAATTACACATCGCCGAAATGATAGCCTTACTCGGTCCACCTCCTCCAGAGGTCATACAAAGGTATCAAACACCCGCAGTTAATGATCTGGTAAACGTATTCCTGTTGTTAAGCCGGCCACAACTGTGCCCGTGAGCTGCTTCATCTTGAAGAAACATCTTCTCCCCATTACACTAGTTATTCCGACAGCCTCTGATTAACCAGAGCCCCAAGAAACAACAGGGCCATTCTATTGTTACAGACCAGCAAATCACATATCTTAGCACAAGTATGTTCTAGCGAGCTGACGCTGACATCAATTATACGTATCTATTGTGTTGTGATTGTTGAATGAACTCCGGGAAACCCTTCAAAAAACCGATTCAAAGCTGATGGGTCGTTTGGCAACACAAGCCGCTCAGACAACGGCTGTCCAGAATTTATATTCATCCTGAAGGAGAGAGGCACTACCGACGGCGAGTTACGAACTATCTTCCAAGCCATAAGCCAGTCCAGAGAAGGAGTGGTTGAAAAGGATCGTATACTGTATGAGTGAAGGCGCAACTGACTGAACTGAGGCAAGATTTCCCAGAAATTGTAGCTCTGGTCGTAAATGGGAAGGTTTGGAAAGCCGCAATTGAAGTGATTTAACAAGACCTTCGGCTCTAACCTGACATCCTTCCCTAATTTTCCGACGGCTGAACCTATTTATCCCGCCAGGATCAAGTACCATACAGGCTCTTTCCTGGCAGCCCATACAAACGTACCGATAGTCGGAAGAATAATTTTCCAGACCGACACATACAAGTGTTGCCAAGCATGGCATTCAGATACCGTGCGTCTCCAGTCCAGTGCGCTTGCCGCAGCAAGGTATAGAGGACTTAAAATTTCGCACGTCAATGTCCTTGAACTGGGATTCTGAAGCGTAGTAGCATTGCTCAGCAGCGAAGGATGCCTGCGAAGATGCCACGGCATCTCGCGGTTCCAGTTTATGAAGAATCATCTGAACAATCTCAGGCGGCACGTCGACAGGCCACTTCTCCCTATGGGCGCGAGGCTTCTTCCAGCAGTTTGAAGTTAGAACCCAGGCTAGAGCGCGGAACCCAGATGAACATTGGGTCGCTGAATAGTTGAAAAGCAATACTAGGCTCCTAGAGGCCAGAACGACCTCGCGAGAAAGCTCCACGAAAACGAGATGACGTGGCGAAATGACAATCAAGCGAACGTCGTCATGCCTGAGTTTGAAAAAATGGTGGGCTCCGATGAAGCTTCCCAAGTCCCTCCAAGCAGTAGTCAGCAACATGGAAGGACCCAATTTTGGCATGAACGTGACCTACTTCGATAGCAAACATGATTCTGTTGCAATGGGCGTCAACGCGCCTCCTGGTTAACTCATTCTTGCCTCAGAAGTTGGCAAAGCGCTCTGATCATCATGGGAGTCTGTTAGAAAAGTCGCATTCTGCAGCGTTGATGAAAATGCATATGACTCTTGAACCAAATCATAGCATGGTGTGATGGTGATATCATCAAATATTGGCGCGTACGGCTGGGGTACGAGGGTGTCGTAGGACCGTTGCATATGCCCAACAGAGGGGTTTTTGGATGGGAAGTTCTCGTTGGATAAGTTTCATGGATACGTGAGCGGATGCAGGTTACGTGGCGCGATGAACGGTACTTGCAGAGCCTCTCCTGCATTCAAACGTCCTGCTGACGGTGTTAATATTTATTGGATAGAAAACAGAGGGTAAATACCATCAAACCGTTCACTGTCCCCACGATGTTCTCTCTCTCAAGCGTTGCATTCCCCTTCCGCAGTTTACGAGGGCTGGTTGTTTGTTCATCACAGCATTCAGTGTCTCGTTTATTGGGCCGTCTACTTCGGTGCTTTGCACTTGCAAGCATCAAGTTTAGTTTATCGATAGATATTCTATTGAGTTGAGCACACCGCTCTTTTCTGTAGAACTCTCTCGCTTCGTCGTTGGCCTTTTCCCTCGTGCGGCATGTGTGTCGTATGTATTGTCGTGTTTGTTGAAGTAACTGGCGACAGTAGATGCATATTTCGTGGCATTTGACATCTGGAATGTGCCATTAGCATCAGACATGCGAGGCGATGAGGGTATCTTCAAGATCCGAGGCAACCTGATCCACTTCAGTAGAAGCAGAGGATAGATCAAATGGCTCCCCTTCAGGTGGTGATTTACAATAAATAATGACATCAGGATGGAATAAAGGCTCTCCTCCATCATCAGAATCATCTCGAGCAACTGCATCATCAATTCTTTGTATATGTGCTCTCATCTCTGCCTCAGTCATGAAGTATTTGCGATGCGTACGAGGACGAAATGGATGTTCACGAGGTTTTGCAAGAGTTTCAATATAAATAACCACTGGCTCAGAGGCGTCAAGATCAATGATTGATACCTCTGACTCTGGAGCAATTGGTGCCTGTGGCTCAGGAGCATCTGGTGCTTGTGGCTCAGAAGCGATTGGTGTCTCTAATTTCAAAGCAATTGGGGATGCAGGTCCTGGAGAAATAGGATCTGATTTGATCTCTATCGTACGAGGCTTCTTGTCAAGAATGACATAGATCTTAGCACGTTTCTCTCGCTCCACATAATCAAATTGTGTATACACCCTTCATTCGTTGAAGATCTTGTTTACGTCGTTGTAATAAATCAGGACGCATCAATCGATAAACATCAAACAAACGTTTACCACTGAATAGATATCCTTGTCTTCGAATATGTTCCTGAAGATGGACTTTTCCGAAGCCTTCAATTCGACCAGTTCCAAGCTCTGATTCAAGAATAGTAGTGATTTGTTCGATTTCAGCTTCTTGGCTTTGATGGTCATCTTTTCGACGTCGAAATCCAAGATGAAGTCGTATTCTGTTAGGACCGGCGTACTGGCGGGTCCAAATGAGGGGTTTAGGACTAGAGTGAAGAAATCCTAAGGGGTATTCCTGTATTCAGACTAATCGCTAAGGAGTCTAAGGCTGACGGGCAGTCTCTGTTATGGAGAGCCCAAGCCGGGTCACGTGGCCTGGTCAAGCCTGACCGCCACGTGACTTGGCAGAATCCAGGTCCAAGTCCTCTGTGAGGCACTCGTGGGTAGAGGGACGTAACATTCCCGCCCTTCTTCAAGGGCTGCGTCCTCGCAGTCGTAGAGAAGCATAGAACAATAAGAACATCAATCATCATCCGCATCATGCGGGCTGAGGAACAGAGGAAACAAAAAACAAAAACATCATAGTCACATAATGAAAAAAAAAAAAAAATAACAAAGACTTCAGGCGACATGGTCACATTTCCCATCGTCATCCTTCATCACACCCCGCTGCGACCTGTGCAAGAGACGATAGGTCATTGTCTCGCTGAGTTGTCGCGGCACTTCAGGTCGGGCGTTTCTTGGGTGGTCTTCCTCTGCGTTTGGGCTGTTCTGGAGCCGCATTTTTCGGAGGCCTGCCTCAGCGCTTGGGTTGTTCTGGCGCCGTGTTCTCCGGAGGCCTTCCTCGGCGCTTGGGTTGGACAGGCGATTCTTTCTTCTTCTTGCTGTAGTTTTCGAATGCCTCTGTCTCTTCCACATGTGCTCGTGGTTCCCAAGTGCTGTCCTCGTGGCCGTAACCTTTCCATTTGACAAGGTATTCGGCGCCCCTGCGATTCTCCGAGAGAATCTCCTCAACTTCATATTCCGGGTGGCCATCGACCAATCTGGGGTCTGGCCTCTCGTGTACCTTCAGCGGATCTCCTTGGTACGGCTCTAGCATGGACACATGCTGCGTAGCGTGGATCTTGCGGTACCTCGGCGTAAGGATTAGCTTGTAGGCCTGTTTCCCAACAATGCCTGCGATTGCGAAAGGTCCCACGTAGCGGTTGTCCAGCTTCTTGTAGGGCCGTGCTGAATCGATGTGCTTGTTTCGGAGCATCACCCATTGGCCGATGGTGAAAGACTTATCCATGTGCTTCTTGTCGTAAGCGCGCTTCATGGCAGCCTTGGACTCCTCTAGACGCTGCCGCAGTTCTTCGCGCATCTTGAGCATCTCCTCCACGCGAGCTCCAGCATCCTTGTGGCTTTCGGTCTTGTCGTCTGGCACCGATGTTCTCAGTTCAGGCCGGATCCCAAGCAACGCTTGAGCGGGAGACATCTTCAGCGCGATGTGCGTGGCAGTGTTGTATACCATCTGGGCAAGTGGAATCCATCTCGTCCAGTCATCCTGGCACCAGCTGACTGTGTTCCTCAGATAGTACTCGATACTCTGGTTCTGCCTCTCAGTCTGCCCATCAGTCTGCGGGTGGTATGTTGTTGACAGACGGCGCCTCCTGGCCAGAAGGAAGCAGAAGTAACTCCAGAATCTTGCTTTGAAGACTGTTCCTCGGTCGCTCACGAGGTTCTCTGGCATTCCCCAGAGCGGCATGACTTTCTCGTAGAACAATGTTGCGAGCCCTGGTGAGTCAACGTCCTTTGTGCAGGGGACGTAGAGGGAATACTTGCTGAACAGGTCGACAACGACCATGATGGCGTCATAGACCTTCCCTTCCCATTTCGAAGGCGGCAGTCCTGTGATGAAATCCACGCTCAGCCACTGCGCTGGTGCCTCGGGCACTGGTAGTGGCTCGAGCAGTCCATAGGGTTTATGGCGTTTGACAGCGTTAGACTGGCACGTCGGGCACGTGGAGACATGTTCTTGAACATCCTTGACCACCGTCGTCCACCAGTATTTGCGCTTCACGGCCTCCATCGTCCTCTTGACGGCATAATGGCCTCCTTGGGGGTCGTCGTGATGGATCTTCATGATCTCTTGGCAGATTGCAGGTTCGCCACTCGGAACATTTTGGACCCTACGATGACCAATTTGAATCCCTTCATTGCAGAGGACTTGGTGGATACGATAATCGTCAAGACCTACTTGGAAAAGTAAGGTTTGGATCCGTTTTTGAATTTCCAGGTTTCCAATTGTCTTTGGAGGTGCATTTTTAGCAATGCCCCATGCCTTGAGGCGCTTCCTCATCGTATGAGGAGCGATTTTGATGGTATAGCCTTCTTGTAATTCTGTACAAAGCTGTTGTATTGTTGCTCCATTGGTAAAAAATGCGATGATCTCATCCTTGTGAGACTCAATATCAATTATTTGACGAGGCATGATGGTATGGAAACAGGAGATGAGAGGGGTAAATCAATAATAGTAGGTTAAAAAACAGTAATTTATAAAATGGTAAACGCTTGAAACAGCGGTGAGAAAAGCGGTGTAATATGCAGAGAAGCAATGTAGTAAAACACGAAAGGGCCTACTGGGCACTAGCTCATGCCGTACGTAGGGAAGGGATCTTGCTAATTGTTAGGATCGACTCTGTGCTTCGTTTCTTTGCATGTAAGACTCGATTGGATTCCATGGAACGGTATTATAACAATGACCCATCCATTGTTACCAGGCCATACAATACAGTCTGACCGGGATTCCTGGGGTATGGCTAAAATTAGACTAGTGTGTTTTCAGAATACGGTTGGGGAATGAAAGTCTTAAGGGTGTAAAGGTAAATCTGATTTCGAATATTACTGTACTGCCAAGGATTCCATAGAAGAATGAGATACTCTGCATCTGCATTCCTTGGTTCAACGAGGACCGAGGCATGTAAATCATGGCTAACCCAGGCCAAGTCCTGGCATTGCCTTTCCATCTGCTGGAGCATGTGGTTTTTCCTCCCATCACTCCACCACACGGTGAGGCTTGGGACGGAGTCTCCGCAACCAATCCAATCGATCTGGTTCTTTACTAGATTCTCTCTGACCTGCTACCACCCGGTATTTCCATTTTCTTCTATCGCTTGGACCGGATGGCTGCGAGACGACCTGCCCTGCCTTTGGCGAGGCGTATTCATGGCGAAACCGCAGGCAAATGGTTGTTCGGGTTCGCCTGTCAGACGTCTGAGCCAAATTACTTGCAGGGACAGACCTGTGCTGTAGAGACGATCTGCTGTCGGAAGGTTTTCGGATGGGCCTTTCCTCGGCCGTGCGGGTTAACAACGGCATAGTATCGTGCGCGTCTTTGGTACCTTTGCGCATCAGTCGACGAACAGTATATTCCATGCCAAAGTCAAGCATATGGAGACTTCCGGCCTTGCCTGTCTCGACTGAGGCTATTTATGCTCCGACAGACTCTGGAATCGCCAAGTGAATCCGAAATTGAGGGCATGAACAAGCCGCATTTTGTCGAGAGATCAGGAAGCGTACCAGGAAAGGTATTTATTTTCCGGCTTGGAGCTTCAAAATGTGGCAGTGAATGTGTGGCCTCTTATAAGGGATAACTGACGTCTAGCCAGTTATCAATTCCCGCTTCTGGAGCCACACTTACCAAAACCCCCAAAAAGGAACCTACAATTGAAATCAACCCCGTCAAAAACTGGCCTCACACTTTACCCATGATACCCTTCAACACGATGATCCGAGCAAGGTCATTGAACTTCATGTAGGAAGCAATAGTCAGTTTGTCCGCATACCTTTGTCGTTGAAGCGTCAACCCCTTTAATAAATAATTACTGGTACATGTTGAACGTGTGAATCACGGCGGACAATACGGCGGGGTCTCCCTCACTATCTGGATGGGTTCAATGTATCAGCCAAATGTACGTAGCACCAGACATACCTCAGAAACATGTTACGTCGCGACTAGTTCTATTGCTCTTCAAAGCTTGGCTCGATCACTTGGTATAAAGACTTTTCCATGCCAGAGCCCTGGACCCTACTACTGATCTGCAAACTCTCACAATAGATGGTCTTAACAATGAGCATGAAGCAAAAGTTGAGCTAGACCAAGGTACAGGAAGCGCTCCGCCGGGATACCTAAATGAGCTCCCAGTATTTACAGAGATGCAGGATCTGGGTCAGCAGCCGGTAAGCGACGATTGCATCCAGAATGGAGCTGCATACCGACTTTTGCAACTCGCTCCTACAGGTACAGTTGCCCCCGAATGAGGCACAACACGCCTTGGTCGCTGAACCATTCCAACCGCTGGTCGAAGAGTTGAAGCGGCTGGTACAGGACGACCCACAATTCGCGCACCAGGCTGCACAGATAGTGAGGCTTTACCGACGGCTGTATGAGTCTTATATTGCAAGGAAGTCTGAGACCCAACGTCTTGAGCAGGCGAATGGGGAGCTCCGCACGGCAAATCTCCAATTACGCCAAGAGAGTGAATACCTGAAGGGTCGATACGCCGAACAGGGAGACGAACTGGCTTATTTTGGACAAGCCTTTGACAAACTCAGCACGGGTATCGGGAGGCTCTTAGCGAACTCTGGGGGCTGTTGTTCAGAACCGATGTATGAGGCAGCTAGCAAAGTGAATGAGGAGGCTCCTTAAACTGTCATCTTTACGCTTTTAATATCGACAGTACACAAACCGGCAGGTCGACACGTGAGAAGAACACAGCGATCGATCTCCCTAAGGCTGATGTCAACGAGATCATCAAAGCTTCTTACGACGTCGACGAGGACTTTACATACACCGCCCGTCAGTTGTGGGATATGGAAGATAAGAAAGCTCACCATCCTGACAAATATTTGGGCCACATTGTTCGTCCAGGCAGTTTGAAAATATTGCACAATAAATGCCAGGGATCCTTGGAATATTTCACTCGAGTTTCTGATCAGCGGATATGGACGAATCCTTCGAAATACGCCACTGTCATTGAACATGTTTGTCTAGATCATGATGCCCATCGTGCATTTTTCCTTGGTGTCGCACAAACCGAGACGCCTAGCGGGGAGATAATCCGAAGTGGAATTGAGCAGCCTTTATTCCATGTGGAACATTCTGTGGAAGGCAGTGAGGAATGTCCTTTGAACGTGTGGCGCATTGTTCATTTGACGGATGGCAGAGATACAGAGCTGTTGAAGGTTTTTGCGAAGATGGCGCAGAGTCCTTACCTCCGTGAATTCAACGAAGTGTATATTCGAGAGGACCTTGGAAGACGATTGAGTCGCAAGTGATCAGCTGCAATAAGTACAAGATCTTTTGTGAAGTGCAAACGCTGGGGATTTTCTCCTTCTTTCTATCGCTACTTGAGGCCAAGTAGACCATCCAAAGTATTTCTCTAGTTCATGTGATATGTGCGAAATGGGGATTTGAATCTGGAAATTGGAATCCTGAAATCAACTCAGATTGTCTCGAAGAACGAGAGAACTACCTATTGAAGAGCGAGAAACGCGAACCTGTCTGCGAACCAGGTCCGCCGCTGGGAGTAGTGGGACTACAGTAGAGGAGAGCACAGGGGTGGTTCTAGAAGAGGAGAAGTGTGTCTGTGTCTCTGTCTGTCCTATCTGCGCGATGAAGCCTTTTATCCATATCACAAATGCTGAGTCATCCGTACACCGCTCATTTCGCCACGATGGCGCGCAGTTCTCCCACTACACTAGATACTCCGTGAGCAAGATCAAGTCTCCTCCAGCTGTTCAATCGAATCAATCCCAATCACTCCCCTCAAAATACTCATTCCAGCCATAGGTTGGCCCGACACAGTAGGCATTGCCAACAACAAGCTGGGCATCGCAGTTATCCTCACTCAGCGAAGGGTTCACGTCCAAGAATAAATACCAGGGAATCTTGCTCTGCATACAGATCGTTGTGCAGGTCTCCTGCAGTTCCTCATTTCTAACAACATGCCATTTCCCGCAACCGGTTGTTGTTCCCTCTGCGACTGTTGAGTTCTGAGGAGGCTCAATCTGTGGAATCACATAGCCGCCATCAGAGTATCCGGGGGATGTGGGATCTTCAACCGGGGCAGTGGTATTCGAATCGCCAGACTGGGGTGAGAGGCAGATGACGTGGCCGTACGCGACATCGCTGACAATTTGAAGATTGGAGCAATCATAACTGATCCAAGGGTTGTACTTGCGTAAGGTGGTTCCGTCTTTGTAACCGACGCCTTGAGCCTTCTCTATAGAAGTACAGGTGTCATTCCCCTGAATGGTATAGACTCTTTCACATTGCAACGGCATGCATAGCTTTGTGCCGACTGGGATCTCCTCGCATTCGAACAGGTTGTCATGTCCAATGAAAAGGGCGGCCGATGAGACTTTGTATGCAACTGCAATCTTGTCACACGTATCTCCAGCAACGGTTGTGTATTTGATGCCTGAAAGACACGAGTCCGACGGTGCATATGGATCGACCACTGGCTGAAGCGGATCTGGTATCTTGGTCGGGATTTGGAGACCGCATCTTGAGTTAATGTCAACCAGCTGTGATTGGAAGTTCTTGTCGTATGCAGAGTAGGGGGTTGACTGCATCTTTTGGTACCGGTCGACGTAGCAAGAGGAGCAGAGCTCAGAAGTGGGCATAGCATCAAAGTCCGGATTGAATTCACTGATTAAGTCTATGCATTATCTCAGGATGAGAGCCTGTCAAGTGAGGTTGGAGGATATTTAAACTTACCACCACAGTATTTACCACTTCTGGCATCCTTTGCGCAAGTTTCATTCCATCCTGCCCAAGCATTTCCACCTTTGATGTTCAATGGAGCAACGCTTTTATCAGCTGCACAGTTGTCCGCGACCTGGTGGAACCAGGTGCTCAAAGACTTTCCGCAGCTAGGGCTACAAACCAAATCACTGAGAGTGTCATTATCCAGACCCCTTCTCCACTTAGGTGTCTGGAACATGTAGACCTCGTCGTCGCAGTTGATGAGCTTGGTAAGTGCTGTTTGGCAAATAGGGGATAGTGTCGACAAATAGTCTGAGTCGGAATCGTCCTCGTAAAAGTAGAATCCCGTGAAGTTACGCTGTCCGATAACGTCGTCTGCCTTGCGGAACCATCCAAGCAAAGAGGACATGAAGCCATTTTTTGTGTCCTTGGCATAAATCGCAGTCTCCCCAAGCGGGCTGATTGACTGGACAATTGCCTTGGTAACAAGATTGACGATCCAAATATCGCTACTCTGCTCAATGTAGAAAGCTTTGTCTTGGCAGTCGTTCGAGTTCAAGCAGTCTTGAGAATATGAATTGAACCAACTGTAAATACCTGTAAAGGTTAGCAATAGCGCGAGTCAAGGCCGAAGAAGATGGTACACACCTGCACCGAGCATATATATCGATTCCGAATTGAGCATTCTCACAGCCCACGAACTTGTGCATGTTTTGCAGTCACCAGTTTCTGGGTCATCGGGGAACTTGCCCAGTTTGAAGGGCTCAGGCATTGGAGGCGTGGGTTGGAAGTAGGGGGACTCGGTTTGTATCATTCCCATCACCAAATTTTTGGCCCTCGATAATTGGTACTGATACATGACACTGTGCTCTGAAGCTGTGCCATACATCCAGGTAGGTCCCTGACTTTCGATTAGAATACCGCGTGCCACGTAAACGTCCACTTGGTCCTGAGACACCTTGTCAAGGTCATGGTCCGCGACCCAAGCCCAAAGGTTCTCCATGTAAGCCGAAGCCGATTTTGTGACATGAAGCATCAGCGACGCGCCGATACAGTTTTTGTTTATAGTTGATGCTTTTTTGGGACATTTGTCGGACTGGAGCTGGGAACCAACAGCTCCGCCCACGCGGAAGTGAGAATCTGGGTTCGTTAGCCTTTTCGTACGCAGATGCAAAGATTCGACAAAAGATTGCGCATCAGGAAAAGGAAATGCTTACCCCAAAGACCTGCAGAACCTTGTGTAGACTCGTGGACATTCCATTCCATCAGAACAGCACCAGCTGTGGGCCCAGACGCCGTGAACATCATGTTTTGGATTTCAATGATACCAACATCACCCTCTTTACCCACTTGGACCGCAACATGGGGATTCTCGGCATCCTCAAACTTGCTGCCTGTCGCCATAATCTGCGGCCAAACCTGTCCGACAATCCGGGAACCAAGCGGAACACGTAGAGTATCTTTAATCACGTAGATACCGTAGGGGAAGTACACGATGGAAGACATATTCGCAGCAGTGGAGAGGATACTGTTTAGAGCTGCTGTATCATCCGTGGCGCCATCACCTTTAGCACCATATTCTTTGACGTCGAAGACCTGACCGCCGTTGAGACCAAAGTACTGAGGACGACGACGGGCAAAGAAATTCGAGGTCCCTTTGACATATGACTGGCTGCCTGTGAGTATCTCCTTCCGCTTCAAGGATGGCATGTGCTGCTGTTGTGCGAAATGAAGTCCAGTATCGTCATGGTAGAGTCCGAATCCCCAGGAATCAACGAGGACCTCATCTCCTCCAGATAGGAGAGGCTCAGTAGTAGTGTCGGATACAACTGCGTCCTTCACATTGAAAAATCCCACATTCTGTAGTAAGACTGCCGTAGAGTCATCTGCATATAACGATGTGAGGATTCCTGTTGGCGTGTTGGCGATGATGGCATCCACCAAGATGTACGAGCCAACTGATTGACCAGTACTGGCCACACCTCCAGCCTAAACTAGAATTCAGATACATTTTCTCAGACTTGACATGTTAGGGAACTTACACCACCAGTCACTACAATTCCGCGTCCACATGACTCGATCACAACGTCTTGCATTGTCCAAGCCCAGTCCCAGTGGACCTGCACTGCAGTTTTGCAATTCACAAAGACAAGTTGGCTGGTCGTGAATTGTTGGTTTCCAAGATAGGCACTGTCGTGCAAGATGTGTCAGTTTCACACCTTTCGCAACAATTGCCCAGTGGGGAACAACATACCCAAAGTTTCCACCAACAAATGTCAGGTTGCTCATGAAACCCCCGCTTCCGTTTTCCATGTAGACACCCTTCTCTGTCAATACTTGAATTTCTCGATCGGTAGATTTCGACATACCTGCTGGGTGTTTCCATCTGCCTGAGACATGTAGAACTCAATGTTCTCGAGAGTTGTTCCTTGGGCGACTTGCCAATGAATGGCACACACATATGCACCGGGATCTGTGCGAGTAATGTCCATTTTGAAATTACGCACATTGCGAAGAAAGTTATTCGTGTTCAAGTACCTGTTAAATCTTGCGTTAGAAGGATACTTGCTAAGTTTATTCTGCAATTCGTACTGACCATTGCTCCTGGTCACCAACGTAGACGTCAGAGGTGATGACGCCCAAGCCAACAAAACTTGCAGCAGCCAAGATCGTCGGGTAATCAGCAGGCTGGGTGATATTAGATTAGATGCCAATTCTTTAAAGTGGATGGGGTCAGCATACATCTCCTAGGAATTGCGTGTTGTAGTACTGAATAATTGGACTGCTGACGAGATACGTTCCAGGAGGAAAGAATACAACTGCCGGGAATCTTGTGCTTGAACCGCAGTCTGCTCCACAACGACCTCCTTCGGAGATGGCTTTATTGATGGCAGCTTTGTGGTGTCAACATGTCAGTTTATGTTTTGATAGCTTCCAAGCATTGTTTGGCATTCCTCTTACCCGTGTCGTCAATCACACCATCACCTTTGGCGCCGTAGTCCTTCACATTCCTCCAGACCTAAGATTTGAAGGGTTAGATAGATAGAGCGGCAGTTTCAATTGAAATTATTTACCTTGTATCCTGCAGGGGCAAATGGGCTAGCACCATTCTGTTGCAGGTTAGCCAACCAATAGTCAGATCCAGTGGTGGCCCTTTTTCTGAGAGTGGTATTCTCGCTTTCCGAGTCAGAATGAAGCACTGTCTGATCAGCCGAGGCGTACTCAAGTAGTCCGTTCAGGTGCTGAAGTCGCTGTTGGGGACGGTTGGTGTCGTTCGACTTGGATCTATATTTGGCATGCATTTTCGCAGCCAACATTGCTTCCTGTCCAGTAGAGGCAGTGGGTGGTACAGACTCTGCTAGTATCTTTGCCGCATCTGCGAGATCCTTAGGAATTGTGTATGCAAAGCTGCTTCTGCTTTTGCCGCTTTCTCCACGTTTTCCTTTGGTCTCAGATTCAGACGAATTGTGATGGGAGGCAAGCCGAGAGACAGTACCCGCAGAATAATCTAATGGAGGCGCATTGATTCTTTCTCCGGTGACCTGCTCTGAAGTGGCTATGGCATATTTGTTGAACTTCACATTCTCAACTCGTAGCTTATTCACGACAGCCAGGCCTTTGAGAGCCTCGGAAACTTTGAGGGCGGCATCAGAGGCCCCAAAGTGAGGAACACCCGATGCTGAAGACGAGTAGCTGGAAGCAGCGACTGAAGGAGAGGGATGATTTTCACGGTTGAAATGGCGATGCAGATGCTCATGGCCATGGTGCGCATGACTTGCCAATACGCCAGTGACCTGACATAATATAAGCAACCAGCATAGGACACGATATGCCACTGCCATCTTGTTGAGAGAAGTGATCCAAGTTAGTCTAAGTCAAGGCGCACCCGAAATAGAGAATTTCCAGGAAATAGTTAAGAGTATGGGCTTTACGCAAGATCGAAACCTTACGTAACTCACAAAAGTTAGGCAACGTACCAATATTTTTGCTCCAGATCCAGATAATGATTAATCTCCGGTGAGGTGGCTCTAGTTGCACATGGTAACATCGCGTGGAATAGTTCGAAAGGAACTCACTCAAGTCCAAGACCCTGTTGATCCATGGCACCATGCCAAGCGTTTAGCGCCTCTAGTTCTTCCGGGCAGAACCGGCCGCTATACCCGGACGGCAACTAGCCCAATCTTGGCAGGGGCCAAGTAGATCGGTTACAGCCCGAAGGCTTGGCGGAGACCAGGAGGGCTATTGTTTCTGTTCCTTGCCAAGGTTCCCGGTTAATCAATTTCAGAGCCTCGATGCGCGGCCCACTCCCATTTTGGCCTCCATGGTGTCCTTGGCCATCTCCGAGAAGGATTTTGAACAACTTCAATGTAACGAAGATGGAGTACTAAGGATTTAGCTTCCCACTGGATGCAAATTAGGAAAGGAAAATTTTCAAGTCATACAAATCAGGCTAGATGCGATTTATCAATGTCTTAAATCTCAACGACCCAAAGTTATACCAATTTGTTAGCTTCTGAGGAGGGTTTAAGATCCTTTACTCCTTCATTTCCGCTCAGGGAGAGCACGAGCTGTGTATTCCTGAATCCTGATGTCGGGGAAGTATTTACTAAGACTCAGCATACTGCTCTGTGCATTGGCACTGCTGGTCCTGGGACAGGATTGCAGTGCAAGCAAGCATTGCGCTACAGGATGCTGGTATGTATGATTGCTCTGTAAATTGGAAAATGGCCACTGACCATTCATGACAATTAGCTCAAAGTCCGGCTTTTGTGGAACTACTCCAGAGCACTGTGGTGACGGTTGTCTTTCGACCTGTGACTATAAACTCGGATGTGACGCGAAGAACCCTTGCGAGGAAGGCTGCTGGTATGTCTTGTTGGTTATTTTGGATAAACTTGTTGGCAGCTAATTGAGATCAGTAATAATTTCGGCTTCTGTGGACATGGCCCAGACTTTTGTGGCAAGGAAGTCTGTGTATCTGGCTGCGAGCGCAAATCAGAATGTGACCCTGGCTTTGGAGGTCAATGGGCAAAGAGTAAATCGTGCCCACTCAATGTCTGCTGTTCAGATTTCGTATGTTGCTCGAATAAGGTCTCAAAGATTTGGGCCATGCTGACCTTGTGTGGGTTTAGGGTTACTGCGGAACCACGAAAGAATTTGTGAAGCTCACCCTGATATCATTACATCTCGAGTATTGGCTAACACCATATTGCTTTTAGTGTGGCAACAAGACTGTGAAGCACGAGACTTGCTCCAAATATCGATACATGTCCAGGGTCGTCGGTTATTACGAAGGATGGTCTACCCGGCGTCCCTGCCATGACTTCTGGCCCGAACAGATTCCTTTCGGCGTCTACAGCCACATCAACTTCGCATTCGCCACCATTGATCCAAAGACATTCAAGGTGGGGCCGTCTGACGACCGGGATGTACAATTATATCGCCGGTTGACTTCCCTGAAAACCTACGACAAAGACCTCAAAGTGATGATTGCCATCGGAGGATAGACGTTCAACGACCCTGGTCCAACTGCCACAGTGTTTTCGGAGCTCGCAGCATCAGAAGAGAAACAAGACAAGTTCATTGCTTCGTTGATTTCGTTCATGTCCACCCATGATTTCGACGGTATAGATCTCGACTGGGAATATCCCGAGGCCGATGACCGCAACGGAAAGCCAGAGGACTTCAAAAATTTCCCCAAGTTCATGGCCAGACTGAAAACCGAGTTGAACAAAACACCTGGGCGAAGTGAGCTTTCGATCACGCTACCAGCATCATATTGGTATCTCCAGCACTTTGACCTCAAAGGCCTGGCTAAGCACGTTTCATTTTTCAACATCATGTCCTACGATATGCATGGCACCTGGGATCAAGGCAACAGATGGACAGGTGCTTTCTTGAACCCTCACACCAACTTGACGGAAATCAAATCCGCTCTGGAACTGCTTTGGCGGAACGACGTGGAAGGAGATCAGGTTGTCATGGGGCTCGCATTTTATGGACGATCTTACACGACCCAAGGGTGTGTGGAGCCTGGATGTGTGTATGCCTCCGGGGGTCTTCCAGGTCCATGCAGCAAAGAGGCAGGAATTCTTCTCAACAACGAGATCATGGATATCATCGACGAAAAAAAGTTGAGGCCAAAGCTATACAAAGAGGCCGCAGTCAAAGTTGTCACTTGGGATGATCAGTGGGTTTCCATGGATGATCGAGAGACCCTAGCCATGAAAGCCCAATTTGCCCGTGAACAGTGTCTCAGCGGAGTTATGGTGTGGGCGATCAGCCATGACACGCCCGCGGCAAACTTCTCGCGAGACCTGGCAACGATCACTAACCGCCAAGTCTCAATGCAGAGAGACCAGGTTAACTCCGACATCATCATAGAGAAGACGAACCACAACCAGTGTCGATGGTCCAACTGTGGAAGGCCCTGTCCTGCAGGATGGAAAATGCCCCAAAGAATCGACGAGTGGAAGACTGGAAGCCCAGAATATATGATGGATGACACGCACTGTAACGGCTTGGGCGTACGCTCATGGTGTTGTCCTCCTGATGCCAAGTTGCCAAAGTGTGGCTGGTATAGCTTCAACAAGGGTTACTGTCAGTCTGGGTGTCCGAGTGGGATGATTGAGATTGGTTCGACAACAAATGGATGCAAAGAGATTCACCCTCCAGAATACCAGTCAGCATGTTGCACAGTGGAAGACGATTCCAAAAAAGAGCTGAGCAGCATGGCGCTTTACAACACCTGCGAATGGGGCAAGTTCCCTGAGTGCGGTGATGGCAAGTGCTCCGGGTCAAAGAGCTCCCTTCTCGGTGAATCTGGTCAAGGTAGCGGTGACTCAAACTGCTACCCCGGAGACGTTTGGGGGAAGCACTGGCCAAGACACTATCACTCACTACGCAAGTATTGTTGCAATACGGAGTCGAAAAGCAAGCGATTCGAGAACTGCAAATGGCGCAACAACGTGGGCTTCGCCTTGGACGGTCAAAGGTGCGTATCTGGATGTGATGAAAATCAGGTACGTGTGGCGATGGATGGTTACAACGAAGGATGTTACCACTCCGGTGCTCGGGCATACTGTTGCGATGCCGTCAGCTACACCGAGACCTCACGTACATCCGATGAATTGCAAGAGTTTTCGGATGGACTCATTGACTGGACAACCAACTACGTGTGTGCGGAGAGCTACCCTGAGACACCTCGGACATCTGAAGCCAATTCCCTGAGTGTCCGCGAGGATAAATGCGAGGTTATCGCAACTCGTTTCCTGGTCGTTCACTTGGTTGCAATCTTCTCGGGTTACCAACTGGGTCAGGACGATCACTGGCATCGTCTGGTCAACACTTGGGACAATATTGCAGGGCATCTTTTCGAGAACCTGAACACCGCCACGATGCTTCCTAGCCTTTTCTCGGGTAAGACTGTGCCAGAGTTCCTACGAGATGGTTATGAGAAGACCGCGACATCCATCTACCTCAACCCATCAGAATACAATCAGCTGTTCGGTAGAAAGCCCAGCGTGATTACATGCCACCAGGACCTGTGCAACTATGGAGATGAATCGTGTGGCTCGACACTTGCCCGACGGGAGTCCACATGGAAACAAGAGGTTAGTCAATCATCAACTCTCTATGCTCCTCACTAATCACGCTTGAGACTGTAGCGAGATGTGCTTCACCACCTACAAAAAAGGGCCAATAGCAAGGTGTCTTTTTTCGATTGCGTGGATAAAGATGGCATCGACAGGGTGATACAATGGACGAGATTTGCTTATCCAGGGTCAAAGGACTGGTTGGAATTGAAGACTAAAGATGCAAAGAAGGACCCCAGAAAGAAAAAGACGATCGATCAAACTGTGGATCTTGACACTTCCGATGATTGTGGAAATACTGCAGTGCGTCAACGAACAGCGACAACGCAGGAGCTTAACCCCGAAAAGCCCGATGGAGGCAAGGCCCCAGAACCTGAGGTCAACAGTAAGTCATTTATGCGCAACGTGAAGAACACAATCTGACGGGCTAAACCTTAGCGGATCACCCGTTAGAGGTGAAATTGATTCGCAGGTTCATGGAATGGGCCATCCTAAACTGCGCAAGTGTTGATTGTAACTTCCTCCACAACTTCTTCATCAAAGATATCATTCCGAAAACTGCACCAAAAACCCCGGGTAGCAACCAGGTACTTCAAAAGCCCATTGATCGGATTATGGAGCAAATTGGAAGCAAGAGCAACTTCGATGTGTTCCGGCTGATGGCAAAAAGTTTGAACAAATTGAAAGGCGATGTCAGTGTTTCGAAGCCTTGGTTGCGAGCTGGACTAACTGATCTTAGCTCTGGGATTTCGATAACCCCAAGCATGTGATGTTTGCTCAAGACGCTTGGCTCGATATGGTCGCAAAGAAAGATCCAAGCCAGGCTTTGACCATGCTACGAAATGTGAGATCTGACGTCGCGGGTGTTTCTTTGCCAGTCAAAGCACTAATACTTACTCTTCACAGGTTATTGCCGTCTACAATTATCAGAATTCTGACGATGTCTTCAAAAGAATCATCACCGTCTACCAGGCTATACGTGAGGAGTTGACACGCACTTCTCTGGCGCACTTCCAGCTAGGGCATGACTTCGTCGACTTGGTGAGTTGCTGGGATCGCTTCTTTGAGATCCAGCAGAACGAAATGGTCAAATTCGGAAAAGACTTTGTCGAGAACGGAATTGATCAAATGATTCTTTTTCCTCTTGATTCCTAACGGACTATCGCTCTTGCTGCCGCCACTTGCTCCTAGGAACAAAGGAGTACGAATTCAGCTCTAGTGACCTGGACATTCGCAGAAATATTCTAGACCGGTCATGCTACTGGATGATCTACCTGCCCATGACGGAATTTGTGCCTCCTCATTTACCTGGTATTCTAACTAGCACTTAGAAAATCCCTCATCATAACTAAATGAAGCCTAATAGGTCTTCTTAGGAGCTCCCAGACCCTCCGTGCCACGACAATATGATTGGTGAGATGAGTATAGATCCTAGGAGCTCAAGTGCTGGTGCCCATTGGTATTTGCGGGGACTGGCCGATAATGCTGAGAGTCAAAGTATATAAAAGAAACACTGATCCCTCCTAGAGTGAACATATCCAAGCTTCAAGCATTTCTCCTCAAGACTGCTCATAAGCTCAAGCGACCGTCGGCATTCCGGGGTCTGTCTCTTTCCAGCCCCTCAGCCAGAGCAAAAACCTAACTATTGTGCAGATTTTCTGATGCTGCAAAGGAAACCGCCGACCTGGTAGATATCCAATTATTCCATCCGATTAGAGTTGCAAGACCATTTCTTGCATATTATTGAGCTCTGAATCTGTTATATATGGCCAAGACCTATGGGAAGACGTAAGTGACTCTCACTATTCTACCAGGAGGAGCGCGAGAATTTGCAGGGGCCTGTGGCTGACTGAATTTAGTAGCGTAAAATCCATTGAGATTTGAGAGAGAACAGATCCTAGCTTGATTTTTCGGTCTGATTACACGTACTAAAGCCCACAGTACTTGCACATGCTCTTTTTGTCATTTACCCAGACGCGAATGGTGTGCTTCCCCCGATTGAGCTGAACCAACGATAGTCCCTTCCACGCAAGTGAGTTTGATCCGCGACGCCCGTTCTTCTCCATCAAATGCCAGGCATCAACAGAGACCAATGTCTGTGAGATATCTGAGCCTTTCACGAACTTGGTTTACATGTTACTTATTTAGATGAGATTTATATGGTACAATAGTACTCCTTCCGAGGATCAGAAGGTCCCAGGTGGAGTTCCGCACCCGAAAGAGACAGTTTGAAGATGCCACACATACACTTGAAAATGAGTCCTCGCCCCTTCTATCACCACTACGATAACGAATACTCTCGTAACGTTCGCATCCCTTCTTAATTGTCCCCATAATTCTCCGAAGCACAGCCCCCGGTGCAGTCTAGTGTGTGAGATTGGCTAAAACAGGAGATATATGGGCAAGGCGCGACAACCTACTTCCAGATGCCTAGGACATCTCAGGAGACATATTAGAACCTGGAAAATCGACGCGTGAAAGCGCAATTACGCCTTGAGACTCTATTGAAAATAGCCTGGCCATTTCGGTAATCAGGTTAGTCAGCTATGTTCTGGGCTTGTATTCGATACAATTGCGCATTATTTACCGGTGTGAGGTAATTACAGTGGTTTTATTCAACCTGCACAGCCACCGCTTTGAAACAGATAAGCCACAATACTTGGAACATCTGTAATTTCAGAGTGACATAGAACAGGTATGATCATGTATGATACCATTATCGTATGGTGCCGTTGCAGCTTATATTCGAGCTTGGAGGCGAGCACTCGGGAACGAGACACTGTGTGTCTCGCTTGCCGAGCGGGGATCACCTCCACCATGCGCTAAAGCCTATCTAGAATAGTGTATATACATGACCATGACCCACTATTCTCGACACTTGCTATTGTCGAGAGCCTCATAAATCCGGCGATACTTTGCCTCCCACTGCTGCCTTTCCTCAAGTAACTCCTCTGAACATATTTGGCCGCGTTCAAGCTTAGCAGTAAGTTCCCGGTTTGCGTCTTCGAGTCGTCGAATAGTGGCCGTGAAAGAATGATTCTCCAAAGCTGTCCCGAGTGGCTCGGAAAGCTTCGATATGCTTGACTGCTTGGGTTTTTCAGCATTTGGGAAGCCCAGCAAACATTGGTTGCTCACCTCGTCGCTAATACTTTTATAGGGGCCTGCATCAGACTCGCGCAACGTCTGCGGACTAACAGCTTCGATAGAGCACCCGAGTGCATCGTGTATCGCCTGGTACAAGCCGATCGTTCCATTACTTAAATTCGATCTCAACAAATTTTCTTGAGACTAGATACTCAGGAATGTTTATTGGTGTTTCTGGACGATTCAGCATGAGGCTAACAACCACCCCTGTTAATCAGTCAGAATAACCACATTGGCTGTAGTTTATTTGAAAAATAAATTATACCTGGTAAGATCTAAATGTAATTGACAATGATCATTTCTGTATGCCCAGTTCATTTCCGGATTCAATGGGTCGCCAGCAGCAAAGTATAGTAGGTTTCCCCACCTGTTGGAGTCAGATACAATGACGGGGACCATATCTGCAAAATGAGGCTGGCGGCCGACCACGATGTAAAGCAGGACTTTTATGCTCTCAACCACAATGCCAGGCAATGTGGTGAATGAAAAAAAAACTCTTTGAAGGATAAACAGAGATGAGGGCCGCGCTTGGTTTTTGACGTTGATATCGATTTACATCGCTCAAATGTTGTGGTTCGATTACTCCTAGAAAACAAGTATCCGCTCAACGCTATGAGACCGGGCCTATGTTAGCGGCATGGTGTTGAAATTCCCCAAGTATATAGTGCCTATATCTCATTCTGCGTTCGCTCGCAATCCGATTTCGATATCATGAACTTTCGAACCTTAGTGAGTCTGCTTTTCTTGGTAGGCGTCAGTGCGCAGAGAACTATGTTCAGAGGGACCGGATTTGGAACATACTACTACGATGTGAGGCAAGTGGAGGCCTGCGACACATCGTTTGTGGCTCAAAATTTGGGCCCTCTGGAGTGTAGCTCGCAGAATGCTTTGTCACTGAACCACGTGAACTCGAACTATGTGGTTGCCATGAATCATAGCCAGCTTAAATTGGACATGTCAAAGTATTGCGGAAAGCGGGTTATCGTCACCGTCAATGGCGAGCAGTCAAACCTACCGCTCTTTATCGGCGATGGATGTCAGCGTTGTGCAGGAGGATCGGCTTCAAGTGACGTCTGGAATGCGGTCGCCGCCCCCGGTCTCGACTTTAGTTACTCTGTCCTGGAAGAGCTGTCCGGAGGAGCTGCATGTGCTGACGGTCACATTCAAATTGCCTGGGAAATTGTGGATGACACGATCTATAACTTCTCGGATGGTGTAAATTTCGAAACGGCACCCGCGGAGGCTAGTGAAGAGCGGACGACCTCGTCAGCTGCGCTCGTAATGTCCACATCTCTTTCCGCTGCCAACTTTCTCCATACGCCAGTTAACGACGATCCAGTCCAAAATGCCGTCGGTTTCCCGACGTTAGGGACGTGCACAGGTGCGACAGACAGCCGCCTGAGCCGTCCTTGCCCGACAGGGATATGGCGATGCAACGGAAGCATCCTCAAACAATGCCTTACCGACAGATGGACTCCTCGCATCACTTGCGGAGCCGCGATGACTTGTCAGGGTGGTAGCCACCCCTACTGTGTCCAAGCCCCACATTCGTCGGGTATCTAAATTACTAGACTCTGTACGCCGCGCTACGCGCGGCTGGGCATTACACCTTCTACATGGATACCTGCGGTAATTCTAAAGCAATACTGCCTTCGTTAGGCGCAAGTATAACAGTCTTCTTCTTTTTAGGCTTAGAACAGTAACAGCCGGCGCCGGAAACCCATCTAGGTGCTTGGTATTATCCATCAACCTGAAAGGGTTAGTCTCCAGACCATCAACATGTGTTCCATCTTCAGCAGAGAAGTCGGAGTCCTCCACCGAGGTAAGATCGTCATCAGAATAATGCTCACCGGTCGAAGTAGACGGCTCATGTTTATAAAGTCAGACTGAGGTAGCCATTTCAGTAGACGTTGACGAACCTGACATTGTTGCCATCCTAGTTTGTTCGTCGACCAAGGCACATGGAAGGTCGAAGCCACTTCGCTGTAGGACACCGACTAATCTCCCCTGATGGAATATGGATAATAGTATTTTTATAAATCGTCCGCCATGTTGACCACCTCGGAGAGCTAACATCGAGCAAACAAAAGATCTGAAAGGATAGGTCTTTTGCACAGGCCACGTGCGGGATCTAGGGGTGTTTTCCACCCCAGGCCACCTTAGGGAGAAAGAGACAGATACATCAAGACTACAAATGAGGAAGTATGTCCAAGCACGCCTCGAAACGCAGTTACAATACCAAAATCGTTGGCTTCAAGCAGCAGAGAAACAGGCTTTTGATCTTAGAGAACAGGTCAGCATATTGGAGGTTGAACTGGCACGTCAGAAGCGGAAGCATTGTCAATAGATCAACGTGGACATCACGGAGCGACCTCACCCTCTGCTGCAGTGCCTATGGAGATGGGAGGCCGCAAGTCTTGCTCATAATTGTGGATTGAAGAAAATCACTCAACAGTGGATGTCAGTCGCGATCCTCGTTGTCCTAAGTCAATGGAACATGAGCCGTCTTGCGCCTGTCATTTCAATGCCGGATAGCTTGTCTATACCGTATCTCTTATGGACGTGAGCTGGTCACCGGAATCATTTGACTCCCCGCAAATTCCGCCAGAAAGCAAGACTCTCCTCTTATCAATGGCAAAAACCCGCTTGGGTCTGATACCGACAGTACCCTTTGACGACGTAATTGATGGAAAAGGTCAAGGCCTCAACATCCTTCTGGAGTATGTCGGCAAACTGTTTATGTACTATATCGTGGCTTCCGTCCTAACCCGTGTTAGTGGCCCACCCGGCGTCGGAAAGACGTTCACGGTTGAAGGAACCTCGGAATATTTGAAGCGGCCTCTCTATTCGGTACGAGCCAGTTGTGGCGCTGATTGTGGCCTCACTGACATTCCCAGATATCCGCAGGCGGGCTCGTTGTTGACCACGGAGATTCCAATGCGCTTGAGCAACAACTTGAAACTGTATTCAAGATCGCTCAGCACTTTAAAGCCGTGCTTCTATTGGATGAGGCGGATGCGTTCATGGAACAGCGGACATCCTACCACGACACTCACAATCGCCTGGTAACCGTCTTCCTCCGAAAACTATAATACTATCAAGGAATTCTTCCTTGACTTCGAATCGGGGTATTCAGTTTGACGATGCAAACTCCAGGCTTGAGTTCTAGTTTTGTTCCCAGGAGACTAAGTGTTTGTCTGCCGGCGTTCCACATCCGCTGAAGCCATCGCTTACAATGGTACTAGATATAGGCTGTCAAGTTAATTTAGCCTTCTAACATAAGAGCTGGCAAGGATGTGGTAGGGTTTTGGAACCCTCATGGATTGCCTTCCAAGTTCCTTGGTACGAAGACTGCTTTCTAGCTGGGCCAAGTCTTTTCTCTTCCTTCAAGACGATTCCCCACCAGCCAGCGCAAACCAAGAAGAGCGGACCACAGAAGGAACAAACAGAGAAGAAGTTCCAAAATTTCCCAACCCTAGGTATTGCAATTCACTATATCACGGTAGTATCCGCTGCTCTAAATACATCCCAACGATGCTCCTCTATAAATGCTAAACGCGTTTATCTCCAGATACCAGTCGTCCTGCTCCCATCCAATCGGCTCAATCTTCGATGAGTGCACCGCTATTACTCCAGAACCCTTCTTTACTTCAAATAAACTTCAATGCCCCGAACGGTCATTGACGAGTTCAAGACAGCGCATATCACTGCCCGTTGGTTACTTCAATCGGACAGTGCCCTGTAAGTAAAGACGGGGCAACTCGGAGAGGTTTCCTGGAAATGCTGACGATGTAGATCTATCTGATCGCCCTGCCACAGAGAACGGTGCTAATTGTTCAAGATCTGAACGAGATCGCTGAATTCTAGAGATACCACTGCACAATCTGGATCCCTATTACAATTTTTATTTCCCATCAAACTACTTTCGAAGATCCATCCGGCAGTCACTCAAAATGCAGAGGTCAGTTATGATTCGTCCTGAAGAAACCAATGCTAGGTAGGTTCTATGCGTTACTTAAGATTTTCATTATGCTAAGCTGAGCTTTATAGACGTGGTTTATACGATACCACAGGCGTCAAGAAGCCGGGTGTTCCGCCTCCACCGCCAAAGTAATGTTGACAAGACAGAATTGGTTGGGATCCAATCTCGATTGAGGTCCTATGGGTGGTAGCACAAGCCCCATGGATCGGACGTGCCTGGGATGATGTGGTATGAAATTTAAGGGCATGCGTGATTGTATCATATAGGAACCGATCGGTCTGTTGAATTTTCTATGTATATCTCAATACAATTTACGGAAGCCACAAATGATTCGTAACGTAGTAACAAACCTTTGCCACACCACGGCTTCTGGAGCTTGGCACAGAAAGCAGAACAGTGAATGGCAAAGCCTGTGGTGATAAGATTCAAATAGACTTATGGCTGCTGCACATGCTCAGCCCAATGTTCGAGGAGGGGATTTTTGAATAATCTCCAGCTGTCTCGAAGGAGGTGCATTGACACAGTTCCTGTTTTAATTGCAGTTACCCGACTGATATTCCGGTTCGGCCGGGGACAATCGGCTCTGGCTGGTAGTCTTGCTTCTCGCTATTGCCCATTGGTTGAACTTGCGAATTCTTTTGTTCCACCGACCAGAGAAACTTGAAGGTGGAGTGTTTCGGAATGGGCCCTAGATCACTGTAGTATGTGGTATATGTGGTAAGATACGTCAAGTATCCTTGGAGAAACGTGATATCTCAGGATGGATTAATTCTGAACGTTTGCTTTCTTGGCCACCGTGACATGCGCTATGGATGGCATGCCTTTGGACTATCGTATTGCGGAAATTTCGACAACACAGCCTGTGCAGGATTGCAATGCAACCGGCAAAGAGGCTTACTCCTAGAATACTGCCGAAAATAACCGCAAGGCTTTGCCTTGAGGGCCTTCGCGATACCCCGCTCCCATCCAATGAAGCACCAATGGAGGGGCTCGAGGAAACAGAATCTGCTGCCGTTGAAGATGAAAAGGGGCTGATGATAACAAGTGTCGTAGGTGATTGCGGGGCATAGGCGCCTTGCGTTGTTTCCCCTTGTGGGGCGGCAGTCTGACCTTCCATCTGCGTATGTGAGGAATGGCCAGGTTGCACGCCGTCCTCATCAGACGTCCGGACGAGAAAAGGCTGAGAAAATTCAGTTATCTCCAAATGGCCATTACTGCCGTCACTCGGTGAGTTATCGCTTCCTGTACTTATCGATGGAAGACGCTCAATACCAAGGTCGACTTGTTTAGAAGGGATTGTTAAAGCAACAAGATTATCGTGTAGAGGATCTAGGGATTTCTGATCACTGGTGGAGCTTGGATACGTATTGACCGTTATTAGGTTTTGAGTTGGAGAATCGGGAGAAAGCGTCGCGCCGAGAGGATTCAGATCTGAATAGCTTGTCTCAGGAGGCTTGGTTTGGGTGTCGTTGAACTCTGTTGCACTTGGCAGGCTTTCCGGAGATGCTGTCGGCGGAGTTATGTCGGTCTCATTACCCAAAGGACTAACCGAAGGCGTCCATTCAGTCTCACCCGTGTTCGCAGATACCTTGGTTTGCATCAGCCGCGGTTCCGAGGGAAGACTTTCGGAGCGAATCGTATGAGCTGCAACAGCAAGGGTTACCTGATCGGATACAAGTCTGGAGCTTGGAGGATGAGTGTACGAGAGCTGTGGGAAGTTTGTTTGTAGCGTCTGTGATGCCTTCGCAGAGGCTAACTCGCGGTATAAAGCTGACGAACTAGTTAATTCTAGCCCCGGAGGGGAACAAAGCGGTAGTGAAGCCATAGTACGATATTACCAAATGTCATTTCGATAAGTGTCTTCGTTGTTACAGATGGACTTTGTTCTCAGCAGTGGAGAGGCGACGTCGGCCAGAATAGTAAAACTCGATTTATAATGCTCCTAATATTGCTCTCATTAACCCTCAGATCCTCACAAAACGCTCCCATATATAGAGACTCATGAAAGATTGGAAAGGATGGGCTAACCCCAGCCGACAAGAAGCAACGGGATACGTGCAAGAATAAATCTCCTATGACTCGGCTCAAGCTGTAGTAAGTAGCTGTCCCCTCGCCTGTTCTCTCAGCGTAGCAACAGTTGGTCCCCAAAATTTGATTCATGGTTTGCTCTTCCACTGATCACTCGAAAAGCCTCAATCTAGGACAAATAAAAAGTTGAAGCTCGAAGGGACCGTTTCACACATAATGCTTCGGTATCATTCTTGAAGTATTCTCCTCACTCCACTATTATGAGACCGTCTCAAGAAAGTAATCAAGCCCTGTGATGCTTCAGAAGATGAAGCGTCAAAATGCCAAGTCATCAATGCCAGCATTAGGACAGCACCATAACTAAGATGCTGTAAAATATTCCCCACGTGGACGCATAAGTCATTTTCGAGTGGTTTTCCGAGGACATCCATTCCCAGACTGGGGGAGATTCAATCCTCAAAGAGAGCATTGCTTTCAAAGCAATTCCTGCCGGCCCATACAGGAATTGGACGGGAATCGGGGCGGGCTTCTAATGTGAGCATATCATCGTCGCAAGCGAGAAGTGCAGGTACTCACCATGGCTAGATCTTTGGTAATGACAAGGTGCGATCGATGGCTACCTTGGACAGTATAAGTAGGTCCCTTTATATCCTCTTTCATTTTACTCTATAAGGCCTCTTCCTCGAGCTCTATGATTTAGCACCTCTTCTCAACACAAAACGGGCCTGCCGGAATGTCTTCACCTTCATTCTTCAGCATTGGAATTATCGATATTAATCCGGAATTTAACCTATTCCTTTCTAACGTTCCAATGGCCAACCTAAGCTGTGCCTTCTTCATTTGTTGGCAAGAATACTCTACAGAAGGCATACCACTGTAAGTCTCACCCCGCTAGCACCACGGCCTATTTATCTGACGAAAGCGTAAGAGACGAAGAGACTACCACTGGGGTGGAATTTCGAGAAGGATCACTCACTCCCCTGGGTGGTTTCATTCCTGCTATATTGCAGAGCCCGCTGGTTATCCGTAATATCCAGAATGATCCGCGCATTGGAGGACTGAAGCTTGTCGTATATGAGTGGGTCGTCTATCCTTTTTTCATAGGCTTAACTACTGACATAGTGGTTTATCAAACAGAACCCAGGATATATCGAGCGGCCGTTCTTTTCTGTAAGCACAGAGACTGTCCACTCATACATCCGAAATCAGCTAACATTGCAGGGCGTTCTCGATCAGAATGGGAGCTTCGCAGCTCAGTGCTTTACCTATCCCGAACCATGTAACCCTGCCGGAACGCGTACGGCATATCATCTTACACGATCTGCCCTAGGTAAAAAGTGTTAGCAAGAATCTTGGTGTTCTTTCGATTACATTGCTTTCTTCAGTCTTAGCTCTGTCAACAATCAAGAATCTGAATTATACCTTTCGATGTTTTCCCCACAAGTGTACAGCCTCCACGGAACCCTTCCATGAAACGAGAGTCACTATTTTTGATTCCAGTGAGCCTCGCTTTGCGCCTTGAAGGCTTCGCCGATCATCCCCATACTCGACCCTGGTACTCAAAAGATTGACGCTCCAGGCTGACATAGGTTTGAATCACCACCCGGCAGCTAGATATAGCTCTTGCCGGGAGCGATTGATAGTAATCCAATCGTCGGCTTCGCCGATCAGCCATATCTTAGACCTAGACATCCATAATACCCTTAGGCTGGGCCTTGTCACATGGCCATGCAGCCTGGCATGAGGGAGCCCTAGGACTGGATATCGCTGTCGTTGCCCCCGTCTAGATAGATCGTTCTTGCTTAATATAGTAACAGGATCTGACGGATCTCGGAGCGACCCTATCACACACACGGTGAAATTAACCCAGATTGCCTCGTTCCCGATGGGTCACCTTCGAGTCCCTCAATCAACTCAATCAACTATTCACTCATTATTTTGTTTGGTTCCCTTGGATCCTCTGGATTCCATCACATGTGCATTTCTGCTGTGGCTCTACTTCCACAGCTGGTAATTAATTCCCCGCCATATTGTAATCCTCGTTTATTCTCCCCCCAAAATCTAGCGATCATGCACAAAGCACGCTAGGATTTGACCGGAGTTTTCATTTTCAACGTTTTGCTGGCGGCACAAATGTGACTGTGTATTCGCCAGCAGACACAGCTCACGTTCATCCGTTCCTCTCGCACTTGCCAACATGTTGTCCCAGGGGCGATGCCACTGAGCACGAACGGTCCGACATAACCCAACGCACTCACAAATTTAACCGCGTGGAACAGGTCATCAAATGTGCTCGCTCTCCTGGCGAGTACATAATAAAGATAATACGAGAAGGGCCCTCGAGTCTCTCTTCTCCCGGTGAGCTATTTCACCAACTGATATCTGGACTCCAAGGTCCACAGACCACGTAAATGGCGCACACGTTGAGCCGTGTCAAGCAAGAGCAACTCCGGAAGCGACGAAACAACCTCCTTCGGCGCCACAATGATTTTTGGCGCTTATACTCAATTCGGAGTTGGCTCATAATGGAAATGCCCAATAAGCGTATCTATACATACAGCTCTCATCCCGAGATATCTGCCCCAACTAAGGCGGAAATAGTAAGATTTGTGTTGGGAGAAAGATTAATGGCCGATAGTTAATACTGCTTTTAGGAAAAGCGTCCTCAACCCGCAGTTCACAGGACTCCCGCCTACTATCTTCCCGGTTCTTCGGCTGAGTTGATCTTTCCCAAGCCCCCGGTTTTTAATGTCCCAGAACGTCGGAATATTCGGGAGAATCTATCAGTTGAAGAATTTTGCGCCCCACCAAATGATTATGACCCGGCTCTTTTGGATAGCAAAGAGCTTTTCCTTCAGATATGAGGTCTTTGGAAGAAGAGCGCTAGCGAATCATAAAAAGCTGAGGCTTGAAGGAAAGCACACTCACTTCTATCGCTGCCAGAGCTCTGTCTTTCCAGGGACAAGTGCTCAATGGTGTGACTCTGCTTCAACTGGCCCAAAACGGCTTTCACTACAAACCGTACCCTAGATTCGGTGGTCTGGCCTGCTGCTTTGCTTGTCAATCTTTCAAACGCCCGGACAGCTTCCAAAGTGCACCTTTCCGAGAGACTCAACAACTACATGTAAACAATTGCATATGGGAGGTCATTTACAGCGAGATAAAGCAACATCTCGAGCCTACCACCAGTCTCGATATTTCAACCAACGCATCCCCTCTAGCTAGACAGTCAACTCCAAGCCACCATCCTATGGAATGCGAACCACACAAGAAAACAACCACCGACGCCAACACACAGACACCAACCCAACCAACACCAGCAGTACCCGCTATAGGAGAGAATTTTTCGAACAATTCTTCGAACACTAACCTCGACTCCTTCACTCAATCGCCGTCCCCCACAACCGACCGAGAACCCCAAATAGCCCCACTAGCCTACTCTCCGCAACCTCCTCCTCCTCCTCGTCGTCAACCAAACCCGCCCGCCACCTCGCCCCAAAATCAACAACCGACCTATGCCTCTGTCCTCCAGCAATCTGTCGCATCCACGCCAGGATCGATTCCTTCAATGCAAAAGCCTATCACTTCCGCAAAACCTGCAAAATCCGTAATCACAATCGAAGATCTTCACCGCCGTTTTCACAATAAGCCGTCACCGTTCCAGCTCGATGATAAACCAAAGCAACGTGCGACTAAACCACCGTCCAGGCAGTTTGGATCAATCTCAGGGATCAATCAATATGTATTTAGAAAGTAGTTGTATCCTGCATATCGTTCGCGAAGTTGAAACCCTGGATTGAAGTACAAGTGTGATGATCATTCTCTAACTAGGCGAGTATGTGCAGCTATTTGTAGTCACAGTAGCTGCCTTCTGCCTAGAGTGGTGGTGGCAGCCTAATAGGCTGCCACTACTATATCTGTACATCACGTAACCTGGGATCCAACTCGCGAGGGGTCAGGGTAAATATCACACACACACACACACACACACACACACACACACAGGCAGTAATGACCGGGCGATGAGCGCTCTCGCACCCCATCAAAAACCTGCCAACTTTGACCACACCAAGATGGACTTTTATGCGGTTGAATTGTTATAAAAATTGAATTAATTCCAAGTAAATCAATTTTCTATTAACTGGTGAATTCTCATGTCCATACGTCCACTCAATCTAACCGGGATGCGCAACTGGGATGCGGGCCCCCTCGACAAAGTGGGTCCCATACTTAAGAAACCAACCCTAAGTGGGATACGCCCGCATCCCCGATACCCCCATGGGTTAGTTATGCAACGAACCCGTAACCTCCAAAACATTAGGGAGACCAATTCCGCTTTTCCAGAGGCCAGCCTCAGCACGCTACCGCTACGGCCCCTGGGGTGTACAGAGGTCCCATTTCAGCTCCTCGCCTTGGCCATTCAACCACGGCAAGCAAGCATCCCACAAAGCCTTAACTTCCTCATGTTCACCAACGCTCATAAGTTCCTTCCAAACTTCCCGATCTGCTCTCTCACACCACCCCAAAAATGCAACTAAAATTAAATCTGCATACCCCGGCTGATCACCCTCAAAGAATGGCCCAGGTCTCGTCTGGTTCTCGTCCTCCCCCCACCCTCTGAGCATGCGTACGACCACCGCAAATTCCTTCCTCAAGCCATCCACCATTGCTCTAACACTCGCTTGATCCAGCGGCCTAACCTTGTCTAACGGCTTTCCGAATTTCGCCGAGCGAGTTTGAACAAAGTACTCGCGGCCCCTGGGATCCAAGAACGCCGCCACAGGAGGAACGAGAACGCGTAGACCCGGTGCAATGACATGAGTAACCAGCCGATCAACATCCTGAGCAAGCGCGTAGCTCGCAGCACCGGAAGGAAATATTTTTGGGGTTGGCGCGATCGCGTCTAGGTGGTCGGCAATCGCGAATGAATCCATTAGTGCACCGTGTGGGCTTGATGGGGTGATGAGTGAGGGGTGGCGGATTGCTGGGAGGGTGTGTGTGAAGGGACTATCCTCCGGACTGTTGGGTGGGACGTCCAAAGAGGAGAAAACGGGGGCAATATCGGGGTATGAGATCCAGGACTGGGTGTAAGGGATATTCTTAAAGTTTAGGACGAGGCGGGTTTTGAGTGTGTTCGGCGACCAGGATCTTGAGGGACCTGGGAGGGTGGAGTTTATGTCGAAAAAGTTTACCTTGGGAGTTGCTTCGTCCATGTTGGTGGGGGATTTAAGAGAATTGAACGAAGACCCTCTGGAAATGCCAGCGCGGATGACTGCGGGTGGTAGAGGGGCTGAAGTGTGATCATGAGTGGAGGTAGGCCTTTTATACCCATCGCTTTGGAGCTGGTGTTCATACACCCCCGTGTGCGCCAATATTACCATGTTGCATTCGTTTATAAAGTCAAACATTACATTTTTGATCGTATGTAGCTTTAGGGTGCCAACTGCCAGTAGAGTTCCATTTACTGGGGACCATTGTGTGGTTACATTCCTCTTATGAACCCTAGTTATTGACCCCAATCCTTAATCGAAAATCGCCACGTTTGTCGTCTGCTGCTTTTCTTGCGTATACCGTATTGCCGCCCTCCACTCCGTAACTAAACCATGATAATCATTTATCCCATGAGGCTGCATCCAATGAGCCCAGAAACCTGCTTTTCGGCGTGGGGAGATCCCGAGGTCCCTCAAAAGTAGATCAAGGTAAGGTAGAATATCAAAGACAAAGTTCGGATAGCGGTGGCCTCCATTTGCGCGAGGAGACCGCCATCTGCCAAACTCTGTGTGCTTCGTCGTCTCCAACATCCAGTCTGCGATAGTCATCGTCGTAAGCGGACTTACGACTAGAAACTCGTTATTGAGAAAAGCCGCTGCCCAAAGAGCCTGTACTTCCGCTAGAAGCGTGGTGTTGAGCGACATTGTATACCCAAGTAACACGATGGATCTGTCCTGAAACATAGTCACAGGAACCATAAATCGTGCTAGACGGAGGGGTCTCCGGTCAGGGGCATGTCCTCGCGTAAAGGGTGGTTGGTCCCGAAGCTTGGGAAATTGGTAATGTATGAGCTGATTGACCTCCTCACGAAGGTGCCTTGGTATGACATCTGGGTTTCCTGGAAAACCAAGTTTGGCGGAGACATCCTCAGGCAGAAACCTGATTCCCGGCATCTCTTCCCATCCTGTGCAGCAAATCAATACGTCTGTATCCAGCTCCTCCTGGTTTGAGAGGTGAACTCGTCTCCTGGACAACCTATCGATATCTGCGATGTGCACTCTGATCTTGCCCTTCCGAACCAGGTCAAAGAAATCGGTGGGATAATTGAGAATGCCCAAAGAAGTCGCCACCCAAAACGGTGACACTGATGGCCTCAACTTTTGCGTCTCCGAATGCTCACGATAACCGTTGGCCTTTTCGAGACTGAGTTGCATCATACCCCAGAACGCATCCACTATCTTACGACCAAGCCATGAAGAGTGGAGCCATGTGTATAGTGTTCCTGCCTCCAGGTTCCAAGCGCATGGGCTAAATAGTGAAAAGAGCCGGGTCACTGGGAAGCTTTCCAGCAGCCTCTTGAAGGGCCACCCAACATACGCTGGTGCCATCCACGTCGGCCCGTTGCCGGATTCACGGATTACCCAGTCCACAACGAGTCCTCGCGTCGCGCACGAGTAAACAACGTCCCAAGCCGATTTGGAACCTCCGAGTACAGTAACCCGTGTTTCAGACTCGAGGATATCGGCTTCATGCGATACAAAATCATGAAAATGTAACAATTGTGAGTCTGATCTGAAATCATCCACCCCGGCAAACTGCGGCATAAAGGGCCGAGACGTCAGGCCAGCCGCAACAATCAATTTAGAGGTCTTGAGAAAATTTCGCCGTGCTTGTGGAGAGCCCTCGATAATACTGAGTGTCCAACTGTGGTCAGACGCATATTCAGCGCTCTCGACCCGGCAGTTCAGGCGGAGCTTATCCCCGAGCTCAAACTTCTTGATGGAAGCCTCAAAGTACGCACACACCACGTCTCCTGGGATATGCTGACCCTGCCGAACCGCAAAATATTCTTCGGACATTGGAAAGTCGCTGAACTCATAGGACCCCAGAACATTGTTGGTTTTAAGTCCGTGGTATATTCGATCCTTCGCCCAGACGCCTCCGACTGAGGATGCACCATCTAGAATCACCATTTTCTGGGATGGATAGGCAGCATGATAGGTCTTTGCCGCAGCAATTCCGTGCCATCCTGCGATCTCTCAATGAGTGCATATTCTATCTAGGGGGAGGTACGGCTCACCGGCACCGATAATAGCCACATCGACCTGTTCCATCGTGAGCTATAGAGTTTCGAAGTTGAGATCTCCTTTGACTTGCGTCGGTTCATGCTTCGAATAAACCTCGATGAAAAGTCAATGCTGCGTCTGAATTGAATTGTGGGCTGTTGCGGCACTCCTCCAGCCTTTTGCAACATACGGCCTAGCCTGCGAAGTGACCGGCGCATGATATCTGACGAACAGAAACTGGAGGCATCACGTGAGAATACAACGTAGAGATGTAACTCTCTGCATTCGGGTGTCTTTACCGGAGCGTTGGTGCTTCTATAATCTCATGTCTCACATCTTACACGAAACAGGGCACCGTCTCCTTTGGTACCACAGTAGTGCACGACTAACTGAGATAGGCTATGCTCTGTCCAAATGCAGTTGTCAACTGCTCTTCCGCATATGTAACCTATTGGCCGCATGCATTCTAGGTGTCTACGATGCCATCGTGCTATCATCGATTTGTGGCCAATCTGCCTAGTCCGGAGGTGCTCCTTCGAGCAGAATGATACGGCTACGGCACTGATGATTCAATCACTCCACCGGAGTGCTGATGGATGACGGCGACGACTTGCAAGAATCGTAATGAATGCACCAGGAGGGTACAGACACTGGTGCTCTGTAGACAGCGCACCGCACCAGAGGCCTGGCCGAACGCCACCGTTTCCGAACCCAAGAGGGATACAAATAGCCGGCATTACCTTTCCCTGCACGATATACGGAACTATCCTAAGCTGAAGCCTACTTGGTAATATGTCCGTCCCTCATTTCTGCACGGTTCTCGTCATTGGTGGCGGGCCCGCGGGCTCCTACGCGGCGTCAGTGCTCGCTCGAGAGGGAATCGACTCCGTGGTGCTTGAAGCCGAGAAATTCCCTAGATATCATATCGGGGAGAGCCTGCTGCCTTCTGTGAGGTACTTTCTCGATTTTATTGATCTGTACGATACCTTCAATGGCCATGGGTTCTTGCGCAAGGTATGGCCGTCGAGATATATCCCTCATGGATGTTCATTGTTTGGCTATGGCCGTGACTGACCGAGTGCAAACAGAATGGAGCAACGTTCAAATTCAACTCCAAGCAACCTGGATGTAAGTTCCCTATTGACCAAGACCAGAAACATCATCTCTCTAATTGGCCGTGCGATAGACACTGATTTCGTCGGCGCCGGAGGCGCAGGCAATCACGCGTGGAATGTCCTTCGCTCCGAGGCAGACGAAATCTTGTTCCGGCACGCCGAGAAGAGCGGCGCAAATGTCTTTGACGGGGTGAAAGTGGAGAGTCTTTCCTTTACGAAGACAACCAGCAGCACAAGCACAAGGGCCGGCAGCGGCCGCAACGAAGAAAGGCCAGGAAAACCAGTCTCAGCATCCTGGATCCGCAAGAGCGACGGCAGTTCTGGTACGATCCAGTTCGACTACCTGGTCGACGCCTCGGGGCGCG